TTCAAATTTTCCAAACTTCTAACAACGCATTTTATAAAAAGAAATGTTGATAAAGATAAAAATTCTTTTGTTTCGAACAGCGTATTTTGGCTACATTACAAAAAGGATAGTTATAGAGGCTTCAAATACACATTAGAACCCAACGAACTAATTTGTTCAATGTCCAAGCTAAGAAGAGGCAGGTCCACTTCCATGTATAATATTCAGATACTTCCAGCTTATTGATCCTCTACCCATAGACTATTTGAAATATAAAGATATTCTCGACCTACTGCCCTTTATAGATCCAATCTATCATGGATTTTACCATTCGCTTAAACACATTCAAACCAGAATCACACAATATACAAGCGACAATGATGAAAATTTCGACGCTTAAGTTTTAATTAGGTGCAAGTAAAGCCATATATTTCCACAGCACTGCTTTCCAATACACAGAAATTGACCAATAATAGTTCTTTCCTCTTGGACCGTTATCTCCATTAAAATATTTTTTAAATCTCCATATTTTTGATACAAATATGATATGTGCCAATATATCAAAAACAGAAATGTTAAAACATATTTTGTTTGTTACATCTGTTATCTCTCTCTCTTCAATCCTGACCCCTCAGGGGGAGGGTAGTGGTCGACGTGATGTCGTGTATTGTCCGTCTCCAGAGATCTCTGTCTCTGGTCATTTCTTTTAATTCATGCATAGGTCTTTGGCATATTCCTGTAATTTGATCTATCCATCTTGTTGGGGATCTTCCTCGTGATCTTCGGCCTTCTACCTTTCCTTGTATTATGAGTCTTTCCATGTTTTCTGTGTTTGCTCTCATAACATGCCTAAAATATTTTAATTGTTGGAGATGGACTTTACTAGAGAGTCGTTGGCTAACTTTTAGCTCTCTTAAAATTGAATTATTTGTTCTACGGTCGGTCCAAGGAATTCGTAACATTCGTCTTCAACAGAACATTTCAGTGGCGTCTATCTTTCTTCTCTCCGATTGTCTCAGAGTCCAAGATTCACATCCGTAGGTCAGTATTGGGAATATTAAGCAGTTGATCAACCTCATCTTTATCGCTCTTGAAATTTAACAGCCCTTCCATATTTTGGTCATTTTTGCTGTGACAACTTTTTCTAGATCACATCTACGTTTAATCTCTTCTTGTAATGACCCTGTGTTTGTGATTAATGATCCCAGCTATAAGTATGAGCTCACAACCTAGAACCGGTCAATTGTGGTTATGTGTGGATGATTGTTGTGTAGTCTATCCACTATCATGATCTTTGTCTTTGATATGTTTAATTGCAGACCAAATATTTGACTTTCGTTTTCGATCAGTCGTATAAGTTCTATCAGCTCTGCTTGACTATTTGCAAGAAGGGCTGTGTCATCTGCGAAACGTAGGTTGTTTAGTTTATGACCATTTATTGAGATGCCCTTTTCCCATCCTTCAAGTGCTCTTCGCATAATATACTCCCCATATATGTTGAATAATTGTGGAAATAGTATACATCCTTGTCTGACACCCCGTTCTGGATGAAATTCGTTCGAAAGTGTGTCAAGTACTTTAACTGATCCAGTAGTGTGTTCATATAGTTCGGTTATAAGCGTAATTAGATGTTGTGGTACGCCTACTTCTTTTAGTATTCGCCATAAGTGTCTCCACTTGACCCTGTCGAACGCTTTACGGTAATCTATAAAACAGATGTATAGTGGGATGTTGAATTCCCTAGATTTCTCGATTATCTGTCTTATATTCAGCAGGTGTTCTCGAGTGCCTCTACCTTTGGTAAATCCAGTTTGCTCTTGTGGAATTTCTCTTTGAAGGAATGTTTTCAGTCTCTCATTGATTATATGTAGCATTATCTTGCTGGCATGGGATATAAGAGAGATAGTTCTATAATTGTCGCATTTATGGAAGCTGCCTTTTTTACGTATGGTCGTTATTGTAGATTTTGTCCAGTCTTCAGGCCATTGTTTGGAATGCCATATTTGGTTACAGAGTAGATGAAGTAACTTTACGCCGGTTTCTTCTGTGGCTTTAAGCATTTCTGCTGTTATCATATCTGGAACTGGTGCTTTGTTATATTTGAGCTTGTTGATAGCCTGTCTTACTTCATTTTCGAGTATATCAGGTTCTTCTTCCACCTCGTCAGAGATTTGGCTAACAAGCTCTTGGCGTTGATCATCTTTATATATGTCCCTGCAATACGATCTCCATCTCTGCTATGTCTTCTCTGTTTGTTCTCAGGGTTCCAGGGTTATCTTCAATGGCCCAAGTTCTGGCTCTGAAGTCTCTTGTCAGGTAGCGTATTTTTCTAAATAGATCTCTCGGCTGATTATTCTGACCATGTCTCTCAATTTCTTTGCATATACTTTGATATTAATGTTTTTTGTCGGCCTTACATCTTTGTTTTATTTCTTTATTAAGGTTTCTTGAACTAGCTTTTTGCCTGTCACTATGTACACCACTTTTACAAAGATTTCTTCTATTCTCAATTATTTTAAGAGTTTCATCTGTTATCCAGTGTTTCCGTTTCACCGGATTATTTTTCTTTGATAACATCTGTTATAGCACTTAACAAAGTATTTAATGAGTTATATTTGGTTTTTTATTTTGTTGCCTTCTATTTAAGAAATCTTCTGGAATATTAAAATTGCCCTACTGAAAAACATGCATTTTGGAGTTAATATATGTCTCCAAACACCACAGATATACAGTTCAACCTTGAAAAACACTATCTTTTTCGCTCTTTACGTAGAGAAAAGATGTCTATTTCAACAGCTTCCTTACTAAAATACCTACAATTTTTCTGCTTTAAACAGTCTTGTTTTAAGACCGTTGTGATCTTCTTCTACGGCACTACAGCCCAAAATGAGCCTTGGCCTCCTTTATTTTTTGCCTCCACCCTTGTCTGTCTGTGGCTGCTCTTCTCCATACACGGACTCCTAAAAGTGCTTGTGCGTCGCTGCTTACTGTGTCTTCCCAGCGCTTTCTTGGCTTTCCAACTGGTCTCTTTCCCTGCATTCTGGCGTTCAGTGCTCGTTTTGGTAGCCTATCCTCTCCCATTCGTATCACATGTCCGGCCCATTGCAATCTTTGTATTCTAATGAAGTCTGACAGGGGTGTTTCCTTATACAGTTGATAGAGCTCGTTGTTATATCGAATTCTGAAGATTCCGTTTTCCCTCACAGGTCCTAGTATTCTCCTCAGTACTTTTCTTTCGAATGTGTCGAGTTTGTTTTTGGATGTTTCTTTCAGGACCCATGCTTCGCTGCCATAACATGCTATTGGCCGAATTAAAGTTTTATAGATTCTCATCTTTGTATTTCGGTGGACACTTTTAGACCGAAATATATGGGAGAGGGCAAAATAAGCTTTGTTTGCCTGCGTTATCCTTTTTCGTATTTCTCCATCCTCTGCTCCATCGGCATATATTTCTACTCCCAGGTATGTAAACTTTCCAACCGTTTCAATGTCATCTTCATGTATAATGTTTTGTGGGATTATATTTATTCTCGTCTGTACCATTATTTTTGTTTTTTCTGTGTTAATTTCCAGACCTAGCCTTTTCGTTTGTGTTTTTAACTCTGCGTATGCTTCCTGTGCTCCTGTTGATGTTCTACTCATAATATTAATATCATCGGCGTAGGCAGCCAGTTGAACCGTTTTATTGGTCAGTAGGTTTTCTCGTCCAGTTTGCATTTGCCAATTTGCATTGTGGCTTTAATGAGTCTAATTAGCTTATGTGGTATTGCTAATTCTGCCAATATATAGTATAGTCTGTCCCTTTTGACTGAATCGTATGCCTGTTTGAAGTCTACAAACACGTTGTGAACATCAATGTCGTGTTCCCACGATTTGCTCAAGACCTGCTTGACTGTAAATATTTGATCCATTGTCGATCTTCCCCGTCTGAAGCCCGTCTGATATTCTCCAATAATATTTTCTGCTAGTGGTTGGAGTCGCTGGTTTATAATATACGTGAGGACTTTATACGCTGTACATAGTAGAGAAATTCCACGGTAGTTTTTGCATTGGAGTTTGTCTCCTTTTTTATAGATTGGGCATACTATACTTTTCTTCCATTCGTCGGGTATTTTCTCTTCTTGCCATATTTCTTTGATAAGCGCGTAGATATGACTTGATAGGTGGTTGCCACCTACCTTATACAGTTCTGCTGGAATCTCGTCAACTCCCGGGGCTTTATTGTTTTTCTGGGTCTTAATAGCTTCGAGAACTTCCTCTTATGGTTGGAGCTTCTACTTCAACTTCGTTCTCTTCTACATGGTTCGTACCCATTTCATCTTCCATATCTACTTGTGTTCCAAGTAGGGTCTGAAAATAATGCTTCCAGGTTTCTGTGACTTTCTGTTGGTCACTGATTATTTGTCCACTTTCATTTTTGCATAGGCTTGTTTGAGGTTTATATCCACTTTTTATCTTTTTTAGGTATTCGTAAGCTCCTCTAATTTCGTTTTTTTTTTTAAATTTTGTTCCATTTCTTCTATTTGTCCATTTTCATAAGCTCTCTTTTTGTTTTTGCATATCTTGTCTGCTTTCCGTCTTGCGACTTCAAATGATGTTCGTCTTTCCCGTGTTCTTCTTGTTATGTACATTTTGTGCGCTTCGTTTCTTTCTTCTATCGCTTGCCTGCACTCGTCATCAAACCATGTTCCTCTTCTCTTCTTTTTCTTGTTTCCCACGGTGGACGCTGCTGCTGTCAGCACTGCTGTTTTGATATTATTCCATTGAAACCGTTGTGATCTTTGATCCTAATACTGTACTATCTTCCATTTCTAAATAGAGTATAAAATTAATTAAAATCTCGACCTCTAAAAAATTTTATTTCGTACAGCTCACACTCTAGCGGTCACAACCAAATTTCCGGATTCCTAGTTACCCCTTATTTTCTATACTGTTTTTAATATCATACAATAAATTAATATCAAAAATTATATAGAGAATATATCTCATATTATCAAATAATTTAAACAATATTGTTCTAGGAGTCCCAAGTCTAAAAAAGGAACAACGCCAATTTTTCATCGATATAATTGGTTCAACAGTCGATTATAGAAGAAAAAATAACGTAAGAAGAGAAGATTTTCTTCAGCTAATGATCAACTTATTAGATCAACCAAAAGATGCTCCAAATCATGTAACGTTCGACCAATTGGTAAGAGAGAAATGAATATTACTCATATAGATATGTGTACTCATCATCATCATTATTCTCAGCGTATTCTACCGATTATGGTGCAGCCTTCCTAACGTAGTCGTCCTTCATTTCTGCCCACGATTGTCATATTATATTATTTGCTTTTCTGTGCCATCTTGTACTCGCTTGTTTCTGGGGATTACATCAGTTATCTTGGTTTTCTGTCTGATCCATTCTATTCTTTTTAGATCTCTATTCATTATACCTAACATACATCGCTCAATTAACCTTTGAGTGACTTTGAGGTTCGCTATTATCTCTTTCTTTAGTGTCCAAGTTTCGCAGTCGTATGTCTTGATTGGTAGTATATACTGACCGAATGCTTTTCTCTTCAGTTGGAGTGGCATCTTCGATTTGAATCTAACTGAATTTCTAACAAAGGATGCCCAAGCCAGTTTCATTCTTCAGTTGATTTCTGGAATAAGGAGCCAGATTTGTGTATTGTCTTAGTTATACACACTCGTCTACTGTTTTAGTGCAGTGTCATATATTATTACATCTACTAGCTCGTTGTATATGGTTTTTGTTTTTGTTAAGTTTATTTTTAGGTCAACTTCATTGCTAGCTGCATTTAGGTTGCTTATAAGTTTTTCATCATCATCATCATCATCAATGGCGCTACAACTCTTGTGTCTTGCCGCGTTTACTATTGCCTTCCATGTTTGTCGGTCCTGTGCCAGTAATTTCCATTGTCGCACTCCCATTTTCTCTAGATCTTCTTTGACTGCATCTTTCCACCTTTTTCTAGGCCTCCCTACAGACCTTCTTCCATCTGGCCTTTCCCAGAACACATTGTTTATAAGGCGATTGTCGTTACTGCGTATCACATGTCCTGCCCATCTGAGTCTATTGGCCTTTATACATCTGACTAGATTTTCTTTTCCGAATAGAGACTCTAGCTCGTTATTGTATCTGCTCCTCCATTCGTTTGTCACGCTGTCTCTGCAAGGGCCATATATCATTCGAAGAATGATATAAGTTCTTGCTTATAAGTAACTGTCGAAATTACCAGAAGAATAAGGTTAGCGTGGGCCGTGGCCAGGATTTGGGAAACTGAGTTGGATCTTGAAAAGCACTAAAATAGAACAATATTTGAAAACCACAATTTACGATTAGTATATCGTGCCTATACTCACGTATGGCTCACAGACACTCACCAAGTCTAATATGGATAAAATATTAAAGACATAGAGAGCGAAGGAAAGTAAGTCTCACTCCGAGCATTGATCTTTATGATAGATAGATAGATAAAAACAAACAAATGGATTAGAAGCAAATCCAAAATAGAAGACCCGGAAGAACACGCTGCCAAGCATGTATGATAAAAGATGGAATGATAAAAGATTGGAACCACAAAATACAACAATAGAGACCATAGTTAGGAAAGAGAAGCAGAGGAAGAGCATAAATGAGAAGGTCTGATGACATTAAGAAGATCGGAGGATACAACTGAAAGCAAGTGGCGCAAAATAGAAAACACAAGATTGATTTGGTGGAGGCCTATGTCCAAAGTTGGATTACTTAGGGCTGAAGAAGAAGAAGAAGAATAAGTTCTTGTAGTTCTGTAGGATTATTAGCAATTAGACAGAACGATGTCGTCTGCAAATCTTATATCTTCTTCTTCATGTACCATGTCCTTTCAGAACGTTGGTTACCATCATAGCTATTTTAATTTTATTCACTGCCACCCTAAATAGCATGCTTGTATCTACACCATACCAATCTCGCAAGTTCTTCAACCATGAGGTTCTTCTTCGTCCTGGACTGCGTTTGCCTGCTATTTTTCCTTGCATGATAAAAATGGCTGAAAAAAAATCTTATATGGCTGAGGTATTCTTCATCAATGGATATTCCTTTGTTTTGCCAGTTTATTTTACTGTATATATTTAATATTACTTCTCCTTGTCGGACACCTCTGGTAGTAGGAAATTCTGGAGTGTTTTCACAAATGTTTACCTTAGCTTTTGCTTGTCTGTATATATTTGCTAAAGTCTCTATTTACGGCTTGTCAATGTCATGGTTGGTCGAAGCTTCTATTACTGCCTTGTGATATAAAGAATCGAAAGCCTTCTTGAAATCTATGAAGGTTAATGCTAGCGGTATTTCATGTTCTACTCATTATAATAGTTCTCGAAGCGGACATGGATATGGATATGCTCCAGGGTATTGAATCCACTTCTAATGTATTTGTTAATCTATTGTTAATGATCTTTGTGAATATCTTGTATATGATTGGTAGTAGACTTATAGGTTTGTAGTTTCTGATATCCTCTTTGCCTACCTTTCTTATGAATGAGAACTATGTTTGCTATATTCCACTGGCACTACATGTCAAGATCAAGATGCACTACACTATGCATCTTGATCTTATTTAGTACGTAAATACGTCTGCTAAAATTTTCCAGTTTTTTTTGCCAACGTATTTAAGCAGTTTCACTGTTATGCCATCTATTCCAACTGTTTTTCCACCTTTATTTTTGTAATTGTCGATTCTACTTATTTCGGAAGGAGTTCTGGCACATCTTATTGATTACTGATTGCTTCTTCAGGTGTTTCAGGGGCTTTGTATAGTTCTCTGTAGAATTTAGTCACGAGTTGTATTATTTCATTTTTGTCTCTTTGCTTCTTCCCAATGATTATTGCTTTTTATTAACTTTAGGAAAAAATGTTATTCTTCATAAAATTTCTCTAAAAAGGTCTCTCTAAAGGTCCTCTTCGAATTATCCATGGATGGAAGAGCAAAATTGAAAGTGTGAACGAATTGTGACTTGAATTATTGATTTGTTTTGTTTTTAACTCCTAGCCAATGTTTTATTACTTATTATTATTTTGTGGTAATAGCTTCCATTCCTGCGATGGCAGTTTTGTATGTTCTACTAATAGCATTACTTTTAACTGCCTGTCTTTATTGGCAACCATATTTGCAATCATATCGTTGCATTTGGGGTTATAGTTCTTGCAGAACTTTTTTTCTAAAATGATTAAGAAAAAAGTTTACCATACGGTTCCCACTTAATGGAAGATATTATGTGTATTGACTATTATGTGAGTGTTCATCAATCTGAACTTATGTATTGAATAATTCATATTTTTCAGATAGCTCAAGTCAGCATTTTCTTCGTGGCAGGTTTTGAAACATCATCGTCAACCATGACATTTGCTTTATATGAGTTAGCAAAACATCCAGAATATCAAGACAGACTTAGAGACGAGATTACATCAGTATTAAGCGATAAAAAAGAACTAACCTACGAATCCATCAACGAAATGAAGTACCTTCAGCAAGTTATTGATGGTTAGTGTAGATATTTTATACGGTAACGAAATTCCGCTTTCAAAATGTTTACAAACTTTACAAACAATTTAAATATGAGATTATTTAGTCAGGACACGCTACAAACATAAGTTTTTCTTAGAACTTTCCTATGAGATCTGTCAATTAAGTTCCCGAGACTGGCGGTACATCATCTTTATTTAGCATTTCTTTATAATACTTTATTTTCTCCGTCAACATACTCTCCTTCCGCATCCCTACACCGGTCCATTCGAACCTTATACTGTGTGAATCAGTCTTGCAGCCTAACCTTGGCTATTGTTACGATTTTAAATGTTATGGCATATAGAACTGTAAATATTTTATGACTAATTCTTTTTTATTGATTCTCGTAATTTGTAGGTCAAAATATACCTGAGCTTAGCTACCAGTTGTTTACCAGAAATCTCTAGACACTAATTTTAGTGAGTCATCCACGTCTCGAGGTTGAAAAACGAGTCGAGCGCCTTCACCAAAATACGAGACTATTCAAGAAGTCCGCCGAATTCTCTGGATGACACAGTTGTGTATATAAATGAAAGATTTTTATTTGGCAGGCAGTGATAAGAAGCTCGCGAACCGCGATATTAAAATGTAACGAAACGTTAATAAATTATTTGTAATTAGGATTAATAAAGACTTTAATAAATTCGTAATTAGTTATCGTGAGTTTTAATAAATTAGAATATAGACAATAAATTAGAATAAAGACAAATAAATTCGAACTATATAAATATACAACAGTGGTGTCAGAAGTGGGATATTCAAATAAAAAAGCGGGATTTTAAATAAATCTAATTTGAACTTTAAATAAAAAGAAGTGAAATATGGCTACAATTAATGAGCTCACAGTTACGGATTTAAGAAGACATCTTGAAGACAGAGAATTAGCTTCTACCGGAAAAAAGGCTGAGTTAGTCCAACGACTAAAGAACGCTTTAAAAGAAGAAGGTTTGGATCCGGAAACTCATATATTTGAAGACAAGCAGGTTGCTGTTGTCATCTCGTCGATTTCGAAATTAGAGAACAAGGTTTCTGAAGATATTTCGAAAGTTTCCTCTGATGTAGCCAAAGTTTGCGGCGACATCGCCTCTTTAGAAGACAAAGTGTCTAACGAGATTTCTTCTCTAGAAAGCAAAGTCTCTGCTAACATCTCCTTGGAAATCTCTAAAGTCACTTCGGAGATGTCTGCTCTCGACGATAGAGTGTCTTCATTAAAAAACCAAGTTGCTGCCGATATGATGGCCTTCGAAGAGAAGATATGGAAAGAGTTGGAAAGGAAGATTGAGGGAACAGGAACAACAGAGAGAGTAAACAATCCAATTACCATAGAGACAAAAGAAGACGAGACGAAATGTAAGTTGGAAACACGGCCGAAATGTGAAGGAAGTGGAAGTTCCGTTCATGTCAAAGTCCCAACTTTCGACGGAAAATCATCATGGAACAACTACATGAAACAGTTCGAATCAGCTGCAAGAGCGAATGGATGGTCTGAAAAAGAAAAGGCTGTAAACCTGACTATCGCCCTTCGAGGAGATGCCTTAGATGTGCTCCAGACCATAGCCGTAGAGGAGACGGATGATTTCGAACAACTGAAGAAGAGGTTAAATATGCGATATGGCCATGAACACTTGGAGCATGTATATCAGTCGCAGCTCAAAAATCGAAGACAAAAGAAAGATGAGGCTCTTCAAGAATATGAAGTAGATATCGCCAGATTAGTGCGATATGCTTATCCAACAGCTCCCGAAGACATGATGGAAAAGTTGGCCGTTCAAACGTTTATTGATGGTCTTCGTGATCATGAGATGCAAAGAACACTACGATTAGCTCGTCACAAGACGCTGGTTGATGTCTTATCCGCCGCTCTTGAATACGAGTCAGCCACGCAGGCCTCTGGCGGGTACAGTAAAGTTAGGACTGTAAAAGAGGAAGAAGATGAAGATAAACTTGACCAGCTCGTTAATATGATGAAAAGCATGACATACAAGAAAACGAAGACCATAAGATGCTGGAATTGTGGCGAAATAGGACACGTACGAAGTTCATGTAAGCATCCTAGGTACGACACAAATCAAGAAACTCACCATCAGGAAAACTAGAACGGGTCGGCCTTAGGGGGGCAGCTTCGACCCAGAACTTTACCAAAGACCCTCTGATACTAATAGCTTCTTTGAAATGTCGTGAAGATAGTGTATATGTAGATGGAGAAATAAATGGTAAAAAGCATACATTGTTGGTGGTACTGGAGCGACCAGAACCATTATACGCCCGACAGTTATAAACAGCCGTAAGAAACTGTTACCAACGAGGTTGCGACTTCGGACCGCTACAGGTGAAAATGCCAACATTCATGGAGAAATCCAGGTACAATTAGGAATTGGAACAGAAAAGTTCGTCCATACTGTTATAGTTGCTGACATCGAAGAGGATGTTATATTAGGAATGGGACGTAATGAATACACATGGATTCCAATTGGATTTTAAGAATAAGGTAATCAAAGTTGGTAACGAGGAGGTATTTCTCCATCCACATGATGACAACACTATGCAAGCAGCCGTTAAAGAAGATACAGTCGTGCCTGCGAGAAGTGAAACGATAATAGTAGCGCGGCTACAGGGAATTGTGGACGAAGGAACACCTGTTATGATGGAGCCTTGGAATCATGACGACGAAGTTGGCCGTGGAATCATAATTGGAAAAGAATTAGTGACTTCGGCTAAAGAAATTCCTGTGAGACTTATTAATGTCAATGACTACCCAGTGACCATCAAGAAAGAGACAAAAGTAGGAACTTGTGTACCTGTCACATCCATAATCCGTCAGACGACAACGTCTGATAATTCCAACGATAAATTTGATCAAATGGTTGCGGTTGCTGGACAGTCTCTGAATCAGATTGAGAAAAGGAAATTAAGGGAATTTCTTCGGCAGTATCGTGATATTTTCGTACCGAAAGGAGGAAAGACGGGAAGAACTACCGTTGTTAAGCATAAAATTGATACTGGTAATGCTAAGCCAATTCGTCAAACAGCTCGACGATTACCACAGGCGAAAAGAGAGGAAGCTGAAACGATTGTTCAGGAAATGAAGAAAGACGGGGTGATAGAACCTTCTACGAGCCCATGGGTCTCTCCGGTGGTCCTGGTTAAGAAGAAAGACGGAACAACGAGGTTCTGTGTGGATTACCGTTTGCTGAACAACGTTACCAAGAAAGATAGTTATCCTCTGCCTCGGATCGATGACACATTAGACACATTGGCTGGAAGTAAATTATTTTCTACTTTGGATTTGAAGTCTGGATACTGGCAGGTAGAAATGGACCCGATAGATAAAGAAAAGACAGCCTTCACCACAGGATCTGGATTATGGCAATTCAACGTTATGCCATTTGGACTTTGTAACGCTCCTGCGACATTTGAGAGGCTTATGGAAAATGTGTTGAGAGGGTTATCTTGGAAAACATGCCTAGTTTATCTAGACGACATAATCGTCTTGGGGAGACATTTGAAGACCATCTGAAGAATTTAGAAAACGTTTTTAATCGACTTAAAGCTGCCCAATTGATGTTAAACCCCAAGAAGTGCCAGCTATTTCAAGGTAAAGTCAATTATCTGGGTCATATAGTCAGTAAAGAAGGAGTGGCCGTGGATAAGGGAAAAATCGATTCTATTAAGGAATGGCCAAAACCAACTGACAAACATCAAGTGAGAAGTTTTCTGGGACTGTGTACTTACTACCGGAGGTTTATTAAGAAGTTTGCAGATATCGCTAAACCATTAACGCGACTTACAGAGGAAGCAAGAGAATACTGCTGGGATGTAGACTGCCAGAATGCCTTTGAAACCTTAAAAAAACATTTAATCACAGCACCAATTTTAGGGTATCCACTGCCAGAAGGAGAGTTTATCTTAGATACAGATGCAAGTAATGTGGGAATTGGAGGAGTGCTGTCTCAGATTCAAGGAGGACAGGAAAGAGTCCTTGGATATTTTAGTAAAGTCCTCTCAAAACCTGAGCGAAATTATTGCGTCACGAGAAGAGAACTTCTGGCAGTAGTGAAATCAGTAGAGCACTTCTATCAATACCTCTATGGAAGGAAGTTTTTAATCCGAACCGACCATGCCGCCCTTAAGTGGTTGATGCAGTTTAAGAATCCAGAGGGTCAGATAGCCAGGTGGATCGAACGACTCCAAGAATATGATTTTAAGATTGAGCACCGGGCCGGAGTTAGCCACCGAAACGCCGATTCTCTTTCCAGAAGGCCATGCCCAGCAGAGTGTTCTCACTGCAACAAAACGGAATCCAAGGAAGCAGCAGTGCTAAGAACGACGGTGGTCCACGACGACTGGACGCCTACCAAGATCAGGGAAGAACAAGAGAGAGATCCAGTTATACAGAAAATCCGAAAATGGAAAGAGGAAAACCGTCGACCACCTTGGCAAGAAATATCGAACCTAGGCTCAATAGTTAAGACGTATTGGGCCCAGTGGGACTCATTTATCATGGAAGATGGCTTGCTCAAACGAGTCCTGGAAAATGATGACGGTTCAGAGAAGAGAAGACAGTTGGTGATTCCAAAGAGCAGAATAGCCGAAGTACTTCGTCAGTTACACGACAGTCCATCAGGAGGGCATTTTGGTGTGAAAAAGACCCTTCAGCGAATTCGGGAACGGTTTTATTGGATGAACAGTTCCGACGATGTAAAAGACTGGTGTAAGAAATGTACTATTTGTGCTACGAGTAACGGGCCTTATCGAAAAAGGAGAGCTCCTATGAGACAATATAATGTTGGAAGCCCGTTTGAAAGAATAGCTTTGGACATTGCTGGGCCGTTTCCAGAAAGTGATAATGGAGGCAAGTACATGTTGGTAGTAATGGATTACTTCACTAAGTGGGTCGAGATTTACGCACTTCCAGACCAGAAGGCAGCCACCGTTGCAGATAAGTTGATCCAAGAATATATCAGCCGATTTGGAGTGCCTTTGGAGATCCATAGTGACCAAGGCAGGAACTTCGAAAGCGATTTATTCCAAGGAATATGTGATAGACTAGGTATGAAGAAAACAAGGACTACGGCTTATCATCCGCAATCGGATGGTATGGTAGAACGAATGAATAGAACAGTTGGCAAGTATTTGACAAAGATGGTGTCCGATCATCAGCGAGACTGGGACCAATATCTCCCGTTCTTCACAATGGCCTACAGATCTGCTGTTAATGAATCAACAGGCCAGACACCAGCCAAAGTCCTATTCGGACGCGAGATGCGACTACCTTGTGATCTAGAGTTTGGGTGTCGACCTGGAGAAGATGTAGCAGGTGAAGAATATGTGATCGAATTACGAAGAAGAATGGACGATGTACACGAGTTGGTCCGTTCCCATCTCCAGATCGCTAGTGACCGAATGAAGAAACGGTACGATACGCAAGCCGAGAAGGGGTGTTTTAAGAAGAACGATAAAGTCTGGCTTTATAACCCCAAAAAGCGAAAAGGTTGTTCTCCCAAATTGCAGCAGTTTTGGGAAGGTCCATACCTCATTATGGAGAAGATCAATGATGTTATTTACCGAATAAGCAAGATTCCGAGAGGAAAGCCGATGATAGTACACCATAACCGGTTGGCGTCTTTCGAGGGTGACCACGACGTAGATGAAGAAGTGGAAGTAAACCAAGTCCAAGATGTGTCTGACCTCACGTTTGAGGAATTCATGGGTGCCTATGGAGGTACCGGTAAAGCAAGACATGGTGTTACCACTGAAGAAAGGCAAGATCTACTCGCGCTTCCGATGACTATTCACTGGCCCTTACCATCCCGGCCAGTATCAAAGATGCACCAGGGTTGGCATCCGTCTTTCGAAGGAAGTTTTGGTCGAGTTGCAGAACTTCAATGCCAAGTGCCAGCTCCTGGTAAAACCTTGAAACTTCAAGATGCATCACGTTACCTTTTCTACCTGGTAACAAAAGACACTGCCCGTGACCAACCTACCTACCGAGATGTATGGGAAGCCTTACTTCAGTTGAGAGAGCACGTACTAGAGTCCGACGTGCAAAAGTTAGCCATGCCAAAGTTGGAGTGCCGCCAATTAGATTGGAGGGTTATACGAAACATGGTGGAGGAAATCTTTAAAGACACCGAAGTCCAGGTGTTAGTCTGTTGCAATCCGCATAGTTACTGCTGCGGAGAGAAAACCGTCCCTTGTCATTTCTATACAACTGGAAGTTGTAAAAGAGGGTCCAGTTGCCGATATCAGCATGTCGTTCCAGTTCCAGTCCCGACAAGGTTCCAGGAGGAACCATCTTTTAAGAGGGGGGCAATGTTACGATTTTAAATGTTATGGCATATAGAACTGTAAATATTTTATGACTAATTCTTTTTTATTGATTCTCGTAATTTGTAGGTCAAAATATACCTGAGCTTAGCTACCAGTTGTTTACCAGAAATCTCTAGACACTAATTTTAGTGAGTCATCCACGTCTCGAGGTTGAAAAACGAGTCGAGCGCCTTCACCAAAATACGAGACTATTCAAGAAGTCCGCCGAATTCTCTGGATGACACAGTTGTGTATATAAATGAAAGATTTTTATTTGGCAGGCAGTGATAAGAAGCTCGCGAACCGCGATATTAAAATGTAACGAAACGTTAATAAATTATTTGTAATTAGGATTAATAAAGACTTTAATAAATTCGTAATTAGTTATCGTGAGTTTTAATAAATTAGAATATAGACAATAAATTAGAATAAAGACAAATAAATTCGAACTATATAAATATACAACACTATACTTGGCTATCCTTGTAGCAACCATTCCATGTGAACTACATCCCGTATATCGAATAAAATAATCAACATTGCCTTGAATTTGGACTAGGACATTCTCGCTTTTTTTGTCTCTTGGACATTTGAAGTCTTTCGTTGCATAAATTTTCATGCTTCGGCCATAAGTCAACATGAAAGTGAAATTATGATAAAAATAATTATTCTCTCGCCAGCATAAGTGGAAAAATTCTTAAGTGGATTCCTATTTATCGCATGCGTGGTTAGACGGTTTGAGAACTCAGCAAATAACTTAGAAAGCTTTTCTAAAATTCTTTTTTTAGAACAATGACATAATTGGAGTACATAGATAAAAATATACTTACTTTCATAGATTAATCCTTCAATCGATACGAAGGAACGAACATCCCAATGTGAAGGATATTTTGCTTGCTACACAGTGCAGTTGTCCGTCATTTGCTAAAGCAGTATTACAGAACATCTGGAGTCCATCGAACAGCATAGATGCAGAACGATTCTTCAGAAAATATAATATTGTAGTGACAGATCGAAGAACAGCTCTTAAAAAGTTGAATGTCAAAATTACAACGATGTTAGCTTTTAATTAACGTATTTTTTTTTTCTTCCAGAAACTTTAAGGTTGTATCCAGTAGTTTCAAATCTTCAGAGGAAGTGTGTGAAGGACTACACGTTTAAAAACACTAATATAGTTGTAGAAAAGGGTGTGACTTGTGTAATACCGATATTTAATATACAAAGAGATCCTGAATTGTTTAAAGATCCTTTAACGTTTGACCCCGAACGATTTAGTCCTGAAAATAAGAATACTATTGTTCCGTATTCAAACTTACCATTTGGAGAAGGACCTCGAAACTGTATAGGTAAGTGTATATTATGTTTTGGTATATTTTTTATTATAGTCTTATAGTTTCTCTTTAGTGTTTGCTTTTTCTCATACATTCTAAACGTTCTCCATTTTTACGTCTTTTTCTACAGATTATTCTTAATGTTTCGTCGATCTTTCTCACTTTTTTTTTATTTCATATATGCCAAGAAAAATTAACTTTAATATTCTTATTTTTGTCATATTTTAATCATTTTTTAATGAGAAAGAGCTTTATTTTATTGAGCTAAGAGAAGCTGCTTATGATTGAATTTTAAAAAAAAACTCCCTAGGTCTTCTTCTTAGAGTGCCATCTTCATGCGGAGGTTGGCAATCATAATGGCTATTTTTATGTTTGAACTTGCTGCTTGTTAAAACTTTAGACTTAAATATTAAAACTTTCGAGCGACCTCGTATACTGCACCTTTGGTTGGGTTCATTTTACACCCCTCGAGAGGGGATGCCGGTGGTGACCAGAGGAGAAGGGAAACACAGGCAGACACAGTCCACGCTCAAATCGAGTCGCAACAACATCATTACGCCAAGGACGCTATTTTTACATTGATCGTTTACAAATATTTTACATGTGCCTTCTTACTTCAATATAGTTTAGTTTAAGTGATTTGTTTTTTTTTTTATATGTTTACGTGAAATTCTAATAAGATTTAACCTACATCCTACACACTGCTCTAAACAAATTAATCGATCTACATTGATATCAATCTCGTAGATTCTTCAACCAAGAACTCTGTCTACGGCCAACAGATGTTCTTCCTTGAATCTAGGTCTTAAAGTCCTGTTATCGTATCAATAAAAAAAGATGACTAATATTCAAGCATTTAATGCGTGACAATTATAATTTAATATCTAAAATACAAACAATATATCAAATAACTCATAGGCAATGATCTATGTGTTTGATTTTCTCAAGTTATCTTTTTTTTACTAGGGAAAAAGCAATTTGCAAAAGTCACACACATATTCTTCTTTTTCTCACAAGATTATAATCTGAAAAAAGTGCTTCGCAAAACATACATACGTTACATCTGCTGCGTCTTGTGGAGGCTGTGTAGAAGAAAACTCATTGTAATCGCTCTCATCATCTGCAGGCACATATTCCTCCTCATCCTCGCTACTAGAACCCGATTTCTTTTTTTGGTTCTTTCTGACCTTGATAACCTTCTTAGGTTTTCATCTACCGTCCGTTTTCCTTTCGGATCACTCTTTTTTATTAGTTTTATTGGTATCTTGCCTGTTTTCTTATCGTCGTCATTGTCCTCTTCATCTTCGCTACTTTCAATTGTTCTCAAAATCTTTGGAGGGACAAATGTAACACTCATAGATTTTTTTCCATTTTTAATTGATGAACCTATGATTTCCTAATTTAGTGCTTGATAATATAGTGATCTCTGATAGAATTTTTTTTTTGTGGAAACGTCACCTCGGAGTCACTATCGAAACCCGAACTGACAATGGACTCCTCTGAGACTATGTCTGCCAATACATCCTCCAAATCGTCTTCGAACAATATTTCTAGTTACTTTATAACTCCACTTGTTACGTTGGTGACACTACCGCCATCATACCAAAAAAATTCTAACTATACATGACACTAAAACATTTTGACTTCTAAGTTCATCTATTGAAATATAGATGGCACTGCTAATATGGCCAAGTAGTGGATCCAGTGGGTCAGTTGAGCACATTGGTGTGATGAAATTGGTGGTTTCGTGGCGAAACGCGAAACCAATGAGCTGCAAAGGGTTAAAGCGTATCCGTGAGTTACTTAACGTTCAAAAATGAAAATGTCATTTACATGAAATTCACATCGCCTGGTCTATTTATCGAATGGCCTAAAATATTCATTGGAGTCCTACTGTAGGTTGAAAACTTCTTCGAAATACCGATAAAAGTTATATTTTCCTACTTTAGCACATGTCTATAACATCAATCTCTGTGAAAACATCTATGCACTAACACGCTAATACAGGTTTTCCTCAAAACGTGTATACTTATCAAAAGATCATAATATTTCTTGTTCGGTTGGAGCTTCTGCTACTCACGCCTTTTTATTGGATGTCTTGATTTCCTAGAACTGGATAGAGAATGACGGTTTAATACAATGATTAATACGTAATTGTATTTCTCTTTTTATTTTTTGTTTACCATCATTGTAGTGCTTTTAGTATGGCAAACAGTTCAACAGAGAAAATTATTGCAGATGAAGGGAATTTGTAGGCCGCTGTGTAATCTGATGAGTAGATTGATTGCTGCCTCAATTTCCTCTTCATTTTAGGACTCATCGGTGTAAACTTTGTAAAAGCTACCATACTTGCTCATTAGTTCAAGAGATTCTTGATTAATTTGATTTACTGGCGATTTTCATTCGTTTAGGCGCAAAATGAGTGTTTACATTAAATGAAATTTACGTTTTAGTGTACACCTACATTGGAACCGTATTTCTCCCGATCCGATATCTGGCGACGTCGGCCGACGTCGGATTAAAACCAAACTCAAGGTATTAAATCAGAGTGCCTATACTGCTTCCATGACGAAGCAGTATAGGCACTATGATTTAATACCTTGAGTTTGTTTTCAATCCGACGTCGGCCGACGTCGCCCGATATCGGATCGGGAGAAATACGGTTCCAATGTAGGTGTACACTTAATTGTATATTTAGCATTTTTATCAATATTAACATTTCTTTTTTACAGGATTAAGATTTGGATATATGCAAAGCAAAATAGGGATTATAGAGACTATACGGAAATTTAAATTGACAATTAGTCCAAGTACCAAAATGCCTATACAAATCGATCCAGGTTTCTTTATATTACAGCCAATAGAAACTCTTTACCTGCAAGCAGAACCAATATAATGAATTTGAACAATTTGTTAACGATTTTTAACATTAGTTTTTTTTTAATAATAATAATAATATAGTTTTTAAGACTTACAATATTGTTTAATTTTTTCCAAGTACTGAACAAAAAGCAAATATTCTATTATCGAAGCGTGTGTAAACAATCCTCTGTACCAAAACATTTGGATAGACTAATGAACGATCAAATAAAAGTTTATTGCAAAGAGCGTCTAATACACAATCAACATGAATTTTCTCAGAATAAATCAACGGTAACAAATTTAGTACTCTTTACACAAAAAAAAAATATTAAACGCTTTAAGGCAGCTTTACATCTAGGCTATGCAAGTCTCATGCTATGCAAGTCCGTCTTGCATGGCACATCCCTTGCCTAGCTTGACCTTTTTACATCAGAGATATTTCTGTGCAATTTTAGATCCCACTTTCATTGTTGCCAACAGAGAAAATATTTATCAATTTGAGGTTATTTTATTTTAAATAAATATAATTAAGTACTAAAATAAATAATATAATAAATAAATATACACTATTTATGGTTCTTAAAAGGGTGAAGGATGTCAACCAAAGAAAAGAAAACATTGTTATTGTTGAATATAGCTGTTGTAGCAACAATCATCCATAGTCAACGACTCACCCAATCGTTTTTACATTAACTTTAGATATAGTATATCTATTTATCACCACTTAATAAAGCTAGAGATAAGGTTATGTTTTATTCTGTAATCTATTATAAATTGTTATGTTGGCAACATGAATTTTAACGATAAATTGCAATAAAATAGCATGAAAAATAGAACATGTTCTAATCTTTCGTCTAGCACAGGAATTGCATGGAAATAGCCCATGGGCATGCGCAGTTCCATGATCTGTCTTGCATGGCTCTTGCCTAGCATGAAAATAGCATAATGTAAAACTGTCTTTAGAGAATACCATTTTTCAAAGTAAAACACTTGCACGTCACGATTTCTACAAAATGACGTCACTTGTATTTAAAATTTCCAGAACATCAACCTTATAGAGTTCAAATTTTCCTAACACAGCTAATAATACGAAATTCATACGGAACTGCTCGATCTTTCATAGGCGTCAACATGATGTAATAATCAGAAAAGTGTAATCATCATTATATTGGAAATTTTAGAATTATATTGACTAAATAATCAAAAACATTTGTTATTAATAATAATATAAATTGTATGAAATAACTCTTTAAGTCTAATATTCCACAAAATAATAATTTTAATTAAATATATTAGACAATTGAATCGGTGAGATGAAAAAGGTACACATTCCAAAAAATGCGAATTTAAACTGAGATAGCCATTTTGTTTCTAAGATCAAGTTCCATCTATGGAGTTGAAAAAGGTACACATTACATTACAAAATATTACTTATGCAGAGGTCAAAATATTCCGTTGAGTTGAAGAAGGAACACATTCCTGGAATGTGTCCCTTCTTCAACTCGACGCGTGTCACACAGCGCAAGTGTAGTGGGAGTCCGCACAGTTATCGTTTGCGCATATCCGGCTTCTACACATAAACGGCCAGTCATTTATCTGTTGTTGTTTAGTTAGTGTGGAGCTGTGTTATAACGTAAACAGTTAACAGTGAATAGTTATAGTGTGTTATTTGCGATGTCGAGTTCAGACAGTGAAAATGTAGAGCCACGCCGGAAGAAGGGAAAGTTAAATAAAGAATTACATGTCAGAGAGATGGAAAAAATTGCTAGACGCAAGGGTGAAGAGTTTGTTACGTCATCAGGTAAACTAGTTGAAGCTAAACAAACTGGCCCTGACTGTCAGTGTAAGAAACAGTGTATGTCTAAGCTATCAGATGAAGACAAAAAACGTATTTTAGAAAAACTTTATGCTGGCCAATCAAAAAATGAACAAGACACCTTTTTAATGGGGTGTATTGAAAGATTCGATGTCAAACGGCACAGACCAACAGTTGATCATTCAAAACAAATCAATGCCTCATTTAAGTATTATGTGATCGTGTCTGGAAATCGTTCAGAAGTATGTCGCAAAGCATTCATAAGTTTGTATGCAATTTCACACAAAATAGTTATCAGACTCACAAATCTCTTGGCGAAGGGAATGTCTCCTCTTGACATGAGAGGCAAGCATTTAAATCGTGTTAATACTATTCCAACCACTATAACTACCAAAATACATGAACATATCGATTCATATCCTAAATATTTAACCCATTACACTAAGCAACCTATAACCTATTTGGATGCTAAGCTAGATGTACTGAAAATGTATGATATGTTTCTTCAAAAACACCCTGACCTTGGAACAAAAGTAAAGTACGAGTTTTTTCTAAAATACTTCAAAGAAAATTTTGGATATAGATTTGGGAAGCCACAAGTCGACGTATGTTCAACTTGCGAAGACCTTCAAACTAAACTAAAATCCACTACATTGAATGATAACGCTAAACGTACCGCTGCTGCAGAGCTAATAGTGCATAAGAGACGTGCAAAAAAATTTTACACTAAGCTCAATGAAGTGAAAGAGTTGAGTAAAACTAGACCTAATGTAATGGGGATAGTTTTTGACTACATGCAAAACTTACCGCTACCCAGTTTGCCCGTACAAGAAATGTTTTTTCTGAGAAAGTTATGGTACTATGTATTTAATGTTTATGATTTTAAAAACGATAGGGCAGTATTCTACACATACCCCGAAGGTGTTGCAAACAAAGGACCAGATGAAGTCACCTCTTTTGTATTAGATTTTCTTCAAAATGAAATCCCTGCAGAGATTACGGAACTCCACATTTTCAGTGACGCATGTGGCGGCCAAAACCGCAACCACACTATGGTGAGGGTACTTTCAGCCCTCACTATGACCGGTAGATTTACATCAATCCATCAATATTACCCGGTAAGAGGGCATAGCTTTTTGCCATGCGATAGAACCTTTGCAGTTATTAAGAGAGCAGTACGAAAATATGATCGCATTTATTCTCCAGACCAATACAAGGCCATCATAGAAAACGCCAAAAAGATTCAACCAACTTACAAAGTAAAAGAAGTAAAAAATGAAGATGTACTAGCCTGTAAGAAGTGGTGGCCTCTTTACTTTGTTAAATTACCAAAAAGCCTTGAAGATAAAAGAATATCTTTTGCCATAAGCAAATATAGTTATCTGATTCACAGAAGTGACCGGAAAGGATACGTGGTAGCGTCATCGTTCATTGGTGGTTTTCTCTCACACACCTTTAAACTTACAAAATCCAATGATGTAGTGCTTCCTTCAAGCAAGGCTTACGATTATGGAAAGGTACCTATTAAGGCAAGCAAGATCAATGACGTCATGAAACTCATCAAATACATTCCAGAGGAATACTTGCCCTTTTATGATGAACGTCGTACTTGGCCAACGACAGAAGCTGAGACCCCTGATGAAAATGATGAAAATTAACTTTCCATTATTGTGCTGTAAACTTTTTTTATAAATCATGTATGTATTTTAATATTACATTGCTATATTTCAAATTATTTTGTTTCATGTTGCCTTAAAATCTCATTTGCAAGATATTGAGTGTAAAAAGGGACACATTCCATTATCTAAAATGCTAATAACTCAGACATAGTATTAAAAAAACCAAAATAACCATAACAGTTGAATGTCTTCCATTTACTTGTGAAACTTCATAATGGAACCATTTTCTGTAACATATTTAGTTTTGCAGATAAACAGTTTTTTTTAGTTCCTGAAAAATAGCCATTTTGGAATGTGTACCTTTTTCAACTCACCGATTCAATTGTACGCAACTGATACGGGAATACTTCAAAATTTTTTGGCAGTTCAGCTTGTGGCAAAATTGTATAAAGTGTTGCCGCTTTTTTAGAGTAGGAATTTTGTTTATGTTTTGATTTCTCACACAATTTGATTATAATATAATATATATTAATAAATTGTATTTATAAATACATATTAAATTTAGATTAATAGCTTTAAAAGCTAATTATTGTTGTGTATTGTGATATGCCAAAACAAATAAATAGTCTGTAGACTTTTTACTATTAATTGCGGGTCGTTTTTACCATTAAAACCCTAAAAGAGGTAAGTTTAAAATTTAGAATATATAATTTTGTATTAAAATGTTTTCTTATGTATTTTAATGTGTTGCAGTGGTATTAAAATTAAGTGTAATTACTGTTAATATCATAGTTTGACAAATAGTTGATATTTTAAAAATACCTCACTAACTATTCTGATGTTTTTGCAACGCTGTTGGGGTTCTGACGACGTCCATGTTGAATGACGTGCAAGCTTTTTATATTAAAACTGCTATATTTATACTGACTTCTCCAAGGCATTTGACAGAATAGATCATAATATCCTATTAGAAAAATTATAAATGCTTTTGGCTTCAGTCATTTAATCCTTATAATGGTTTAGCAGCTTTTTAAGAGACCAGACACAACAAGTGAGAATAGGTAATTTTAATTCAAGTATAATTCATATGACATCAAGAGTATCCCAAGAAGCTCACTGTTCACCCTTGTTATTTAAGATGTTTGTGATCGATATATCAGAATGTTTTAGAAACTGAGATTTCCTGATGTTTGCAGATCATTTGAAATTATTTAAATCCTATTTTAGCTACTTAATCAAATGCTGATTTAGACACAGTTGCCGAGCTAGCAGATACAGTTTTCGAAGCCGTGGCTCCTAGAACACAAATTTCGTAAACGGCCGCTGCTCTTGAAAGCAGCGTTGGTAAATTAACAGCCGATTTAGCTGAAATGAAAATTCAGCTAGCTAACATCGCAACTGCTCAACTACAAACTAATACATACTCTCCGAAACCACTCCGAATGGCAATGTTTAGCACCATGCATAATCCAGCACATCCTAAAATCAACAGTTCTGTGAAAATGATCACACAGCGATATGTTTGGCCTTCAATCAAATCAGATGTGAGAAAATGGACTCGAGCTTGCCTACAGTGCCAAAAATCACAAATATCGCGCCACATTGTTTCATCGAATCATTATAATGATGCCGATTTCTGAAGGAAACAGATACTGTTTAATATGTGTCGATCGTTTCACGCGTTGGCCGGAAGATTTCCCAATGACCAATAAAGAGACAGATACAGTGGCCAGAACAATTTTTTTGCGTTGGATAGCTCGTTTTGGCACTCCCAATTAAGCGTATCACAATGGATCAAGTTCGACAATTACATCTCTTTAAATCAATCTGTAAATTAACTGGAACTATCCATTTAAAAATAACCGCCTATCACCCCCAAGCAAATAGCATGGTGGAAAGATTTCATCGACAATTCAAAGCAGCAATTCCATGCCATGAAAATATTCGATAAACTGAAAGCCTACCTTCAGTGTTACTGGGCATACGAGCAGCGTGGAGAGAAGATTTAGGTACTTCAGCCGCCGAACTCCTTTATGGAGAACCATTGTGTTTGCTCGGTGAATTATTGTTTTCGTCGGAAAGAAACACCGACGACAGTGCTCACCCGAAAATCTCCGTCCTAAGCAACCGTTACAACATGGGTCCAAATGCACTTTTATATAAAAATACCTTCCCTTTGAGAATTAATTACGTTTTACGAAAATAAATATTATTAACAGTTTTTTCTACGTATGCACACAACCATGGAACTTGTTCCTTCCAGAAAGTCTGATATGTTGATGTGTTTTATATACCTTTTGATAAAAATTATGGTATACACTCATCCATTGAGCGAACACTGAAAACAATAAATAGGAACAATTTAGAAATATTTGGTATCTCTTTGGCTTCATTTAAAAATCTGATAAAAAGAGCTTGACAAGTTATATGTACTTATTTGTTTATTTTAATTCATTTTGTTTCATATATATTTCGTTTTATTTATAAATACGATTTTAATTTCACTTAGTTTGTAAGCAATTACAGATATTGATTTTTATACCGTAGTTAACATATATTTTTTTTTGTAATGGGGGTAAAGATAATTCATAATGTCGTGGACCTGACGTAATCATTAGTAACGTCGATCTACGAACGAAACAATGCTATCAGGGATTGCTAAAAACATGCAGTTTTCTTCAGTGCGTTATCGTAGCGAGACAGAAACGAACTAGTTTTTGCGTTAGTGAAATAGCTTTAAAATTTTAATTTTTTTTTTGTGAACAATCGTTCACAATTAATTAATTGATTAATCAATTGAATAATTGAACTTAGTATTTAACTTATTTCATCTTAAAACATAATACCAGCAAAAAAGTGGTATTAATTTATTTAAACAATACCTATTTAATTTTAAACAAATTGTATAAATCAATTTCATCTGTCCGGACATAATGAAGACATATGTACTACCTCCAGAGTTCAAAAGAACCAAAGTTATTGCAATTTTAAAACCTGGAAAGGACGGTGAACTACCCGAAAACTATCGGCTCATTGCCCTCCTCAGTTGCTGCTACAAACTACTAGAGCGACTTATATATAACAGGATATACCCCATCACCGACACTGTGATACCAGTCGAACAGGCAGGATTTAGAAGCGGGCGTAGCTGTAGTGATCAAGTATTGTCCTTAACGACATTTATTGAAGACGGTTTCGAAAAACGGGAAAAAACAGCCTTAACGTTTATAGATCTGACGGCTGCATATGACACTGTGTGGGGAGAAGTCCTGATCTACAAGCTAATGAAGGTTATACCATGCCTGAAAACCTGCCAACTAATCAATAACCTCCTAACCAACAGACTGCTTCAAGTATATATAAACGATACAAAGAGCAATGTCAGAAAGCTAACTAATGGCCTCCCACAGGGTTCAGTGCTTGCTCCACTATTATTTAACATTTACACAGCCGATCTTCCAGAGACAAAATCAAAAAAATTTGCTTACGCAGATGACCTGGCTATCGCATTTCAAAACCAAGCCAAAGATGTTGGAGAAAGGGCGCTTACCGAAGACTTAAGGGTTCTCTGCGACTACTTTAAACAATGGCGACTTCGCCCTACTACAAACAAAACTGAGACAAGCCTCTTCCATCTCACAAATCAGCTTTCGGATGACACCCTTAGCATCACCTTCAATGGCGAGACTTTGAAACATAATAACAACCCTAAATATCTGGGTGTAACGCTCGGCAGATCACTGACGTTTAAAACCCATCTTACGAATGTAGCTGCCAAAGTGAGAACCCGTAACAACATAATAACAAAGCTTGCTGGAACGACATGGGGTGCCACTGCGGATACACTTCGAACCTCCTCACTGGCCCTGGTGTATTCTGTCGCTGAATACTGCGCACCGGTATGGCTAAATAGCGCTCATGTCAACAAGATTGATGTTCAACTAAATTACACTATGAGAGTAATATCTGGTACTATTAAACCAACTCCACTAAGATGGCTTCCAATTCTGAGCAATATAGCACCTCCAGATATTCGACGAACGGCAGCACTTGTCAGAGAATATCAGAAAATCATGGCAAATAATCGTCTGCCAATTCACCAGTATATTCCGCACGCCGCACGAGACCAACAAAGACTGAAGTCCAGACGACCCCCTGTCCAATCCGTTCAGGGAATGGGTGATAGCTACAATAAGCAAGAGCAGTGGACGAAAAGATGGATGCCAACAACAGAGCCAGACGTCATCAAAATAACAAGCACGTCGATCGGCTTCACTGGATCAAACCTGCCACGCCCTATATGGACAAAATTAAATCGCATACGCACGGGTCATGGCAAATGTGCCGATTCTCTATACCGATGGGGTCATGCAGAAAGCATGGCATCCAACACATCATGGCGGATTGCCCAATTCGCAGATACAGCGGAGACCTTCAAGATTTTGCAGAGTCTTCTCCTGGTGCAATTTGGACATTAATATTTAACTTAGGTTACAATTCCAATTTGAACATAATTATTATCTAAATACTACTTTTATCGTATTGTAATTATCCATACGCTAAATAAAAATAAATAAAATCTGCCCGGACATTTTTTTGTCAGTTTTTTGAATCATCCTGAATAAAAAAGGTTTATTGTATTTTCTCTAAAGTTGATCGTTTTCAATAAACAATTTAAAACTGAAAAAATAACGAAAAAAGATTATTTTTAAAGCTCAAAAACACGCAATTATTTGAATTCACCAAACCTTGTTCTATCAGTTTCTGATACTTTAGTTTGGGCTGATTTGATATTAAAACATTGTTTTTAGTTGTTTGACGCCCTTATCACAACCTAAAAATGGATTTATATAAAAGTGTTTAATAAATTAGGACCACTTTTTGTATGGGCGACGTCTTGAACATTATTCTGCGGTATTTGAACGGTGAACATGAAAGTGACTACTTATGCAAAAAATCTTATGGGAATATTTTTCCCAAGGAATTCGAGATTTTCGTCTCATATAACCATATTTTTCTGAATTTAAAACCAAAATTTTATTATTATGATATCATACATTGATTTGTTATTTATTTAGAGATTTTTTTCAGTTCTTAAAATGTGTATAATAAATTACCTAATTGTTAGTCAAATATTTATGTACTTAAGAGAACAGACTTACTTCTGGTACACTTTCTATTCGTTAGAAGAATACTTGCAGGCATATTTTTAACAATTTGTGTTTTTGTGTATATTTCATGTGCTTATAGTTTTTACTTTTTTAAATACCTATAGTTTTTTAGATTGTATTTTGACGCATTTCAATACTTGTAAAAGTCAGATGAAATAAAGAATATTGATTGATTAAAAGGTTTATTTATAAGCCAAATTAGTGCAAAGTAAATATTTTACATTTTAAACAGCAATTCTTATCAGCAGAAGACAGGAAGTCATAAATTTTTATTACATCTTTCAATGTGAGATAAAATAAAAATGCGATGACTAACTAGAATGTTTAAGATTAGAGAAACATAATATGTCATGATTGAATGTCATGTTTATTGGATATACTGGACACTGTGCAAATCCTACCTAGTGGCCTAATTTCCAGGTTTTTATTTTTTCAAGCATGCATATTTATGAGGTTCTGAAACATTTCTAATTACCTATATTAATAAACAAATACTATTATATAGAGTAAGGCCAATAGCCTGTCTCCTTATCTAAGTCCTCTTTTATTTTTTTATATCTTATTTCACATACTGATTTTGTATCAGGCTGCTCTGGACTTTACTTTTTTTAAAGTTTTTTCATATCCCTATGTTGTCTAAAACTTTTGCAATCATTGACCTTTTCATTCTATTGAAGGTCTGTTTATAATCTATGAAAAGCATTTGCATCCAGGTTAGCTGCACAGACAGGACATGTCTGTGCTTTGCATTGTACATTTCATGAACTGAAACTCGTCTGCAGTTTTTTTAAACATATAATGAATAAAGGCCTTCATTATTATTATTATCTTTATATCATATTTGTAACACTTCTCTTTTAATGCGAATGTAGTCATAGATCCCTTTTTTGTACCTACCTGATAGTGACATTTGATATTTTCTGTATATTCTGCCAGCTTGTTTTTTAGTATTGTAGATTACTTCCACATTAAGTATAACATCTTTTAAAGTACTGTATGATTGAAAAGTAATAAAAAAAAAACAAATTTCTATACTTATATTATATTGGAAAATTATTATACAAAATACCATTAAACATTTCATCTATTACACTAAAATAAAACTCAAAATGCAGATGGAACTCACCAAAGAAACACATTTTCACAAAATTTAAAATATCTTATATAATGAGAAATACACAAAAAAAGGTTTTCATGTGTGATAAACATGATCAAAACAAATAAAATTCTGACATAAACAATACAAAGGATCATTTTAATAAAATGCACAACTTAATAACGTATTAGATCTACAAAGCTGTTGGGGAATCATACTTTAGACTTGTAACTGCCCAGAGTATGTCAAAAAATACTTGAAGTTGATTACGTATGTATTATTAAACCTACTCTTTAGCTGGAACCTCGATAACTCGAGGTTTATCAATGATACGAGCAGTTCTGTTGCCTTTCTCAACAATACCAATAATCCATGCTTGATAACCTTCTTGTTTCTCTATATCTTTACAATAGGCAGCAGCTTGTTCACGTGGTAAACATATTAAGAGTCCTCCAGAAGTTTCAGCGGAATGTCCTTGCAATAACTGGAACATATTTCCACATGCTTTAGCAACTGCAGCCATCTTTGCAATGACAGGTAAATTGTGAATGACAAAAGATACTTCATTTTTCTGGTGAGAGGCCAATGTTTGAGCATGGCCAAGTAGACCAAAACCTGTAATATCAGTAGCTCCATGGGCATTATATTTATGCATCAACCTGCTGGCAATACGGTTGAGGCGAGCCATAGAATCCATAGCACGGTGGTAGGCTTTCCTTACATCTTCTTCACTAACAACTAATTTTATTCTATTCCAACGTTCTGGCTGATCCAACCATTGATGGGCGTTGACTGCCACTTGTGTCCCTAAAGGTTTTGTTAAGACCAAGACATCTCCAACTACTGCATTATCTGGAACAATGTATTCATTTGGCTGGCAAACAGTAGTTGCCACTCCACCAATAGTACACCATGGATTAACAACAGTCTGACCTCCAGTGACAGTTGTGCCTGCTTCAAGAGCTGAGTCTTTAAATCCTCTCATAATTAGAGGAATAACAACATCTCTTTCTTTTTCTGTCATTTTGGTGCTAACTCCCAGTAACATAAGCATATTATCACATTCAGTGACTCCCATGGCATAAAGATCACTTAAAACATTAGCACAAGCAATTTTTCCCATCATGTATGGGTCATCCACCAATGGATAGAAGAAGTCAGTGGTTTGTACCAAACAAAGTCCTCCGTGGCGAAGGGGTGTAACCTAAAAAGTAAACAGATTTTAATATTTTCATAATTGACATATTTATTCAGATATTAGAAAAAAGCACAAGGATTGATTATCATAAGATCATTATTGAATGCATTATAGGTTTTGAATAATTTTAAAAAATTCTAGAGATAAATGTAGGTAATAGGATAAGTTGTTAATGAAGCAGTCAATGCATAACAACTTGTTACAAATTTATTTATTATATCTTCTAAATTTATTACACCAAACACAATATGAGGATTTAGCGTAAAATCATATTATTTTTGAGATATATTTTTGTTTAGCAATTCCTGTAATGTAAGGGATTTTCAATAAGAACCAAATTTTACAATATTTGAAATGGCCACACCTCTTGTTTTTATTCTTAATCTGATTTACAAACCAAAAAATCAGTATAGTCCATTCACTCAGTTTAGGAATATTTTGACAGATTCATTGTAAAAAACATAACAAAAATTCTTATCTCTCAGTATAAACAGTACAAATAAGCTTACTGTTGCAGACTTATTTCATTTAAAAAATTTGTAAATACTAATCTATAAATGACTACAAAATTTTAAAAATAAACTTTTGTTTTAATCAATGCTATTTTATTTTGTTAATAAACTGTATGTATGTAAATATTTTTTTCTTTAAATAATCCTTGTATATTAATTTCCAGCCACTGTCAGTAGGTCACAATTTAACAAGCTGACCAAAAAATAATTAACAACAAATTTAATCGGGATTGACGACAGTCAGGACTGGCATTAGTGAACCGAGTATATTAAACATTCTAATATTCCATGGAACATGGATGGCAAAACAAAAAAAAACTCTGGGAAATACAAGTAGTTGTAATCTGAGGCTCTTATATGGCCTAAAGAATGCAATCATGTAGAACAATAAATAGTTGTAGTTCAAACCGCTACTCAATGTACAATACAAGGTAGAATACAATATATTCAAAGACATTATTAGTGCATGCAATGACTACAAGGTATCTAAATATTATAATTTTGAAATAGCCACTATCTAATTAAGAACTTTGATGTTCATAAGGGAAACCAAACAAAGATTAAAACATTGCATCAATTATAATGTATTTAACATTTTGATAAATATTAAAATTATAATGTAATAGTATAAAATATGGCATTTAAATCATAAATAAACACATAAATTAAAAAAAAATCTGAAACTATAGAAACGAGGAGTTGTTTAATAAGAACCAATCAAAACAATGCACTGATTGTAATAGATGTATATTGGAGATATTTATAAAAATGGAAGCATATCAAGTTATAAACCATGTAATAATTATATTAAAACTAAAAAAACCATACTGCATCTCTACAATCATGTGTTACATTTGGAGTTGGTACTTAGAGAAGCAAACATAAATATTGTGTTAGTACAATGACAATGTATCTTACCGAACAATCAAGGCCGATTCCAATTCGCGGAATTGCCATATGCATAAAGTGAGCATGTTCATGTTCTGCAGAATTATAATCCTGCTGGAGTCCCTCTACAAGTTTATTAAGTACTTCTTGGGGTACTTTGCATCCACGGCCCTTCAAATCGGCGAATCGCGTCAATCTGAAACTAGCTTCCAAATCATGGGCCAAAGGGTCGAACGGCCGGCGTAATGCTAGAGTGTTGGGATTTCCTCCTAACTCTAGCTGGACAGCCCCAAGAGCATCTTGCTGAACTTGTGTTACTTGATAATCACCCATACCGGCTTTTCGAATTTTAACGAAAATGCACCCGTACTACCGTGTTAAAAACACTGGCTCAACAAGAGCGTTTCTCAAACAATCGCAAGACGCTTATAAAATGGCGACCGCGAAGCTGCTGTACTAAAATCATGGCGCATGACTACACGCGACCTATTTTGTGATTGGTTGAAATTTTGTGTGTTATTATGCAGGAGGTTGTCAAAATTTTTGGTCTCCTTACTATAATATTATAATATTTCTTTTATTATCGAATATTCACTTATCTAAATTGGTTTAAAATATAACAAAACTATCATTTGCAATATTTACATAGTTTTCACTGATACCATCAAGCTATATTACTTTTAAATATTTATTGATTTTTTCAATGTTTGAATATACTTCAGAAACCCGGGAACATTTACGACTAAATGAATAGTAGTTACAGTGGTGCCAGAATAAATTTTGAATACTTCCCAGGTTGAATTTTCTGTTAAATCGTCGGCATTATATAGAATTATATATTTTAGTAATGTAATTTGGTACATAACGGCAGATAAATGTGACAATTTTTTATTTAATAGACATTTTAAGTTCATACTAAATAAATTTTGTGTGTGTAGAAAATACGGCAATGATGCATATAGTGACTTTTGTTTTATGAATATTGTACAATTGCTGATAGTGATTCTTTTATCTCTTTCTAAAACTCTTCTATTTCTTTCTATTTTATTATTTGTATTGTAGGGATTGGGATGTGAATTTTAGAGTTTTGAAGTTTTGGTATTTCAAACTTATGTATTGTATTATTTTATACAATATATGCTAATGTTTAAATTTTATTAATAAGGTAATAAAGCAGTCTTGAGTTTACACTTTAGCTTTTCACAAGCAAAAAGCTTGAATAAGTTACATTCCGGTACTTGGTAATAACCTCATTATGAGTGAAAATATAGACGATACTATATTAAATATGGTCAAAAACCTTAAATCCACTCGTGACAAATCAAGAAGTAATTATGAATTTGCCTCACTTAAACGCTCAATCAGCTCAAACTCGAATGAGAGCAGTTTGGAAGAAGCTACTCCAATTAAAAAGATGAAACAGGACGGTAAGTTTGATTTTTCCTATGTAGGTTCGCCAAGGGAAATGAACAGATTGAGAGTAGATTTATTAGAAGCCAGAAATATTATTAAAAGCTTAGAAACCGAGTATCCCACATGCACACTGTAAGGCAGCAAATGCAATTAATGTTTGAAGAAGAAAACAAAACTTTAAAACGCCAATGTGAATATGATAAAAAGACGATTGAAGAACTGGAAAATCAACTACAAACAGTACGAAAAAGAGAAATTGATTTAAAACATGAACTTTCTGAGGTAAGTACATAGTCATGTAATTACTACAATAAAAATGTAATTTAATTAGCCATGTAATGCATATTTTTTCATTCTGATATGCTATGCAGAGTATATAACAGATTTATGTACTTGCCCCATTTATAAATAGTTTTATGTTTAAGTATTCATAATACATCATGTATTATACAAACTTAAGATATTGTCTACTAAAACAACTGATCAATCCAATAGAAGTGAATAATGATACCTTATGTCAAAGTACCTTCACTCCGTTCATGGTATCTTTGCACATCATAGTTGTACCAATTTAATCAAAGCATTTAAATCAAACGTAAGTCTTCCAGATTCATGAAATAATTAGGAAATGTTTAATATCCCGTTAAATGTATTTATAGTGATTGTTTTTGTTAATTTGTTGTACTGGATGTTAAAAACTCATATAGGATTGTTTTGAATGTAATTTTGAGTTTTCTACATATTCAATGTTATTATGATTATTGGAAGAAATGCTCTATTTGAAATACTGTAGTTGAGAAAGATGGACCCAAGATAAAACAGCTTAAATTCTCATATTTATTTATTTATTTATACACCAAAGCATCCAACAGCCAAAGCCATTTACTGGATGAAAAAAAGTTTTCATTCAAAATACAATATTAAACATTTACATCATATACATATGACTTAATTACTATTTAACTGGGAATAAGCCACAATTAAAGATAAAAATATGTTTATTGACATTTAAATTTCCACTTCAGAAATCGTTCTCAAAATACAAACAGTAAACAATTTCCGAAGTGGAAATTGAAACGTCAATAAACATATTTTTATCTTTAATTGTGGCTTATTCCCAGTTAAACAGTAATTAATTTAAAGTGCCACAAGAAAATAGCTTCAGAACATATACATATGACATTGAATTTTTAAGCTTAACCATAAGGAAATGCCCTAAAAAATAAAAAACTCTTGTGCATGCTTTTTGAACTAAGTTACTAACACAAAAAAAATTCAATAAACTTTACAAAACAAAACAATAAAAACCATGAAAAATAAAAATTTCGAAAATGCATTAATTTGTAGAAAACTTAAAGGATGTTACAAATTAGTGCTCAATTTGTAAGGCTAAAATAATACGACTTTCCTTATGTCGCATACCTAGAGATTTAGTATTTATTTTTTATACTAGCTGGTTTTTATCAATTTTTTTTACTTTTGTTTTGAACTTCTCTGTAGTTTCCAAAATAAAGTGTGGAAAGTTATGTGTAAAAGGTTTTATTGTTTTAGCCTAAAGAATGGATCAATTACTTTGTTAAAACCTATTTCCACAAATATGACAAAATTATTAAAATAAATTAAAAAAAAAAACAAAATATCAAAATTATATATTTCCTTCACTTTCAGAATCCAAGCTGTCTCCAGGATTTATTATGATGGGTTGAATATCCATATCAACTATATTTTGCTCTCAGACATACCACATTTGAATAATTTCATGAGTATGTCTTACACATTTTTCCCAAATGTCTCCATTACATTGATTAAGCACCTCTTTCCAAATATTTATAACAGCACTATCAGAATAACTGTCCCTACCAATATGCTTATTATAATATGACTTCCGATTTGCCCAAATTAATTCAATAGCGTTGAATTTGCAATGATAAGGAGGTAGTCTCAACACTTCATAACCATGCTCTCTTAGTAACTCATCAATAACATACACATTTTCTTTTTTATTCATTTTTGCGACTTCAATAATTCAGGTTTTGCAAATTTTGGATCAAATTGGATGTTATTAGTTGTCAGCCATGTAACAATTTCATCTTTCTTTGAAGCAGTGGTAGATTGCTTTTCTAAAAGAACACTATGATATGGAGCATTATCCATTACAATCAACGATGCTTCTTTTAAATTGGGAATTACTTGTGTCCTTATCCACTTAGTAAAAATGTCGTTGTTCATTTCTCCATGGTAATCAATATGTTTAGACTTAGAACAAAACAATAAACTTGGTTCAGAAACAAATCCTTTAGAAGAACCAACGTGAACAATTATGAAATGTTTACCATCAAAACCTTCTGGTTTAAATACACTTTTGCTTCTAGTGACTTGCCAGGAAGTTGTTTTATTTCCTTTTGAATAAATCCATGTTTCATTAAAAAAAAAACAAGTTCTCTTCGAAGCACACTTTCCAGGTTTTCAAAGTACTTACAAAATAATTTTGTTCTTAAAGCAGCAATATTGGTTTGTTTGAATAATGATCTTCAATTGCAGTCCTTTTTATATTTAAATCCTATCTCTCAGTACAATGCTCAAGGATGATTTTCCCATAGTAACAACTTTTAATTCACATTTCAAACTTTGTAAACTAACATGCTTTTCTAAAAAAAAAAAGGGCAAGATTGGTTTCTTTTCGTTTTTTAATTGTACATACTGTATGCCATGATATTGTAAGTCAGCAGCTACCCTCTTAAATTAAAAACAATTTCATGATAGGTAAATTATTAAACAACATACAATTCATTACAATATCTCTTGAACACAAGCCAAAGGTGCCAATATGGGTCCTCCGTTCCTTTTTTCCAACTCAAAATATTCATACAAATTCAGTACAAGTTGCTGGGATTGAGAATTTAATATATTTCCAGGCATATTCTAAAAATAAAAACCTTGAGAAAATATTCTGTTTGATATTTATGACAACAAATAATGTTTTATATTGATCCGTTAGACACGAGTTTTAGCCAGATTCAAAAATGATAAGTCAAATTAAAGGTAAGAAAATTTAACTGCAAAATTTATACTTACATCAAGGAATCCAACACTAAGTGAACAGTTAGTCGTTATAATAACTCTTTTTCAGAAAATTTATAAACTCAAGGCACGAAAATGTAATGGAAAATTAAACAATATGAATATAATTTTTGTAAACACCACAATGCTGTGAAGTTGACAATAAGCATATTACTGTTTTTGTCTGATGTATTATTAAATTTGGACAAGAGGCTTAATTTCAACATTTTATATTCTGTGAGTAGAAATGAGACAAAATTTAAAAATAGTTCGTGAATAATTTCATATAGCATTTTTCATATAATAAAGCTTGCACATCATTCAAGATTTATGTCGTCAGAAACCCACAGCATTGCCAAAACATCAGAATAGTTAGTAAGTGAGGAATTTTAAAAATGTCAACTATTTGTCAAACTATTATATTAACTAGTAAATACACTTAGTTTTAAGACTACTGCAACACATTAAAATACATAAGAAAACATTTTAATACAAAATTATGTATTCTAAATTTTAAACTTTAAACTAAAATGTCTTTTAGGGCTTTAATAGTAAAAACGTCCCGCCATTATTTCTTATTCAAAATAATCTATTTTATATGAAAGCTTATCAGCTTTATACAGACTATTTAATTGTTTTGGCATATCACAATCACAATACACAACAGTAATTAGTTTTTAAAGCTATTAATATAAATTTAATATGTATTTTATAAATACAATTTATTAATATATATTATATTATGATCAAATTGTGTAAGAAATCAAAACATAAACAAAATTCCTACTCTAAAAAAGCTGCAACACTTTATACACTTTTGGCACACGCTTAACTGTCAATAAAACTGAGTATTTCGATCAGAGCTACAATTGTCGAATATTAGCGTTAAAGAGTTATTTCGTAAAATTTATATTATTAATAATAACAAATGTTTTTAGTTATTTAATCAATATAATTCTAAAATATAAAATATAATGATGATTACATTTTTCTGATTATTACACCATGTTGACGCTTATTAAAGATCGAGCAGTTCCATATGGGTTTCATATGGGTTCTGGAAATTTTAAATACAAGTGACGTCACTTTGTATAAATCGCGACGTGAAAGTGTTTTACTTTGAAAAATGGTATACATGTGCAAAGATACAGCGAATGAACTGTAACAAAAAACAATAATAAGTTCTTTTATATATTGATTTCGAATATTTTACTCTTACACTTTCAGAGGAATAAAAAGTATGATATGTTGAAAGTCACAACAAGTGAAGAAGTTCAGAAACTTGAAAGTAGTCTACTGGATATAAAAGAAGAGTCAAGGCAAATGGAATCTGAAGAAAATGGTATTGTGCCAAGTTTGGAGAGAAAAATTCGAGAACTAGAAACAATGTTGGAGGCAGCAGAACAAGATGCCGAAGCCCATAAAAAGCTAGCAGATGAATTGGGTAATTTTTAAATTTAAATTATTTATGAATAAATCTTCAAGTGCTGTTCTTTACTAGATAGATTAACCTCTTCATTCCGGAGTGTTAATCTATCACATTAAAACGATATTGTAATGTTTTATCTTTTTGTAACTTAGGTCATCATTATTTTTTATATTCACAAATATTTTGAAATCATCAGCTGAAAGAAGTGCATTGTAGTAACTACCATATTGATTATTTGTGATAAACTGAAAGAAATGCATTGTAGTACCTACCATATTGATAATTGGTGATAAGGTCATTAGTTAGGTGAGTTGGGGTTGGTTCAGTTTTATCAAATGATACCTATGATCACCTAATATTAATCCTTTGTAATAATTTATGTCATATTCTCATTTATGTATATGCTTGAAAAATTACTTTTGTCTTTACAACTTAGCATCTTACGATTTTTCCATGCTTTAATAACTTTTGTTTTAATATCCCGAGACCTCAATTTTGGCACAATTACTGATCCATTTTTAGTTCCTGGTTGTAACAGTCTAACACATCCTGACTAGTCAAATTACATGATAAAAGAATATTAGCAATTTTCATTAGAACCTTAATAAGATCTTCATATTTAACCCTAGAACTACATAGTGATGATTGGGACATATCTAGTACCGTGACGTTGGATACATCATTTTAACTTTACTGTAATTTCCTCTCCTTCTCTTTCTCCAATCACAGAATGCACACAATCCTGGTCTTTTTGAGCTTCCTTGTTGAGCGTGAGCAGCTATATTTGTAGCAGAAGCGACATCTTTATCCAGCAATATAGATATTTGAATGAATGAATTCTTCGCTCCAGGTGTATCTACATTCAGTTTGTAAATTACAAAAGCATTCACAGCAGCAGCATCAAGAACTCCAAAAAAGTACCTCATAGGCCATCGGTTGGATTTTCTTTTGGTGGTCTTTGAATGACAGAGCTGATCAAAGACGTCGACTCCCCCCTTCGTCATATTATAGAATTCTATTATATCAGGTTATTGGAAATTTGATTTACGTCTCCAGTAGAATGCATTGACGAGATCAGAACTAATTTTTATTTTTCTTAGGTACATAGGATACCAACATTTTATCTGGACTGTACAAAAATCGTGAATCCCTTTTGTCTCAATAAAGGATTTAGGAATCTCCCTCTTATTTTTTCGAAGGGTGCCTACTAAAGTTAGATTATTCTTCCTAAGTTCCTCAGACAGTTGACAAGACGAAAACCAGTTGTCGGTGGTAACGTTTCTGTTTGAGTTCTTGATGGGTTCTACCAGCTTGAGAACATATTGAGTTGGTAACAGCAGGTCACTTTGAGGTCTGTTCTCTTTGCCAACGTAAGGAATTCCTACATAGAAATAGAATATTCTTGCATCACAAAGAAAAATAATTTTTAGTCCATACTTATCTGGTTTACTTGGTATATACATTTTAAACAGGCATTTTCCCCTAAAGCTTAACAAAGTCCCATCCAAGGTTATATACTCCGATGGAGTGTAAGTTTTTCTGCAATTACTCTCGAATAAACTCAAGAATTCACTGAATGGGGCAAATTTATCTGTTCTCCTTCATTGTTCCCTCGTGATCTTAGAATCGAAGCGGAGCACTGTCAACAAAAACTCAAAAACAATTTTTGCTCATGACGCAACGAAATAAACTGCGACCAAAAACTGGAGAAAACACATCCAGTAATGTCAAGCCTGAATTTTTTTAGTGCACCAAGCAAATACAGCAAGCCAATAAAGGATCTTTTTTTCTGTAACATCTGTTGAAGATATGTAAGACTGTTCTGAATTATATGATGATAATTTTGGTTTAAAAAAATTCAATCTTTGGGTTTGGTACAAGAATATAAGGATACAAATTCAGAAATTGGAAAATGGTTAAGGTATACGTTTGGTTTAACTTATTTAAATCCAGCAGAAGTTGAAGAATGCTTTCTTTATGATTTAATGTCATATAAACCTATAAACGCAACACTTGATATATATATATATATATATATATATAATATATATATATATATATAATATATATATATATATATGCAGATTATTTACTGGAAAATTACATTTTCGATAGCGCTCTATTTCCACTACACATATGGTCTAATCAGAATCCGTCTATTGCGAGGCACAAATGCCTGTGAATCCTTTCATTCGAGATTTAATTCTTCTTTTTATTCAACACACCCTTCTATTTTTATTTTTATTGAAAAGTTAAAAGAATTTCAAGTAGACACTTATGTCAAAATAAATATTTTACATATATGTACCAGCAAAAATCAAAGATACTACTGTTAAGGCTAAATTGGCATTTTTGGAGAAAATGATGGATAAATTACGATCCCAACAAATACGTAGGTTAGATTTTATAAAATCTGTATCTTATCATTCCTATAATAGCAAATAAATCATTGTATACAAGTATATTAACGGTAAAATGTACAAAAATTAGATACTAGTTGTATTATATTTAGATATTATTACAGTTATAAAGAAATAAAATGCACATTACTTTTATTAAAGTAAATAAATTAATTAATTATGGTATTTTATTTATGTCGCAGCTATATTTATTTGGTGTCGAATATACCCTGTAAGATAAAAACAGGAATTGGGGCTGGTGTCGAAAATTGCCATTAAATTTTAGTCGCTACCTGCTTAGTGTCGAAATTTCCTACGCCCTAGCAAATAGCTTATCCAAATCATGGCGAAGAAAATCTGCAACAACTGGAGACAAATCTTTTTGTTGTAGGTTTTCTTCGCCATGATTTTAACTGGATAAGCTATAGGTATTTACTGCGCCAACTCCATTCAACTTTTTTGCTAATGAACTGAGAGTCGACCTTGTTATGGGATTTGATATTATAAAAAATATACAGGATGGCCCATTTTCATGTTCCCTCACATTACAATTGCTTTCATATACTTTTTAATATAAATTACAATTGATCCTTTGTACATCATGTTTTTATCAACATTACTGTTTATTTTTAGGACAAAGGATAAGTAAAGATAATGCTGTTCAAAAAGACTTGGAACTGAAGGAGCAGGAATTATTGAGTGCCAAGCTATATATTAAGGAGTTGGAATATGCTAAAGAGAGTTATGGAGAATTCCAAAAATCTTCAAAAGTAATAGATGTTTTCTATAGTAATAGATCTATTTTCTATATAAATAAATTAATGAATGCTTAGTTTCTAATATACATAGGAACTTTTCTTTTTTATGACCAGGTTTTCACATTTTTTTTTGGTTTCTTATTAAAAAAATTGTTCAGTTTTTTTTGTCAGCTGATCATCTATTGTTCATCTATTAGATGGACAGCCGAGAAATTTCTATATTTATTTATTTTATTGTAAAAAAAACTATCCAGTATTTAACACAATTTTAATTACCACTGTATAGAGCAATCATACTGTATAGAGATATAAATATCGTTTTCTCTGACAAACCCAAATAAATAATCACTAAATATCATCTAACTTATAAAGAACAAACACCAATTTTTCTTCTTCTTCTGGTAGCACTACAACCCGGGGTGGGTTTTGGCTGACTTCACAACCTGCTTCCATCTCGAACGGTCGTCCACGATGTTTAAGTCAGTGGGTAGCCCCATTGTTCTCAAATCTGACCATATATTATCTAAAACACCAATTAGACATGAAATAATAAAAAAAAATTGATTACTTGTAAAATGCCGATGTTTGAAGATACATTTTCACTTGTTCTAAAAAATCGCAATGCACAGCACGTTGTAATTAAAATGATTGGGTTGACTTGTCTAGCAGAGCTGCCAGATTTTAAAAATATATAGAGATTTCCAAACAAATGTACGATTCACGTTATGCTATGCCTGCGTAACTATCGGTAATAGTAAATTACCGAATCCATATATCGATTTCCATGCGGTAGAGGGTTAAAAAACAGGGGGCTAAATAGTGCGAAGAATATCGAACAATCAGCCTAATGAGCCATATGTTGAAATTGTTTCTTAGAGTCATCCATGGAAGAATTTATAAGAAGTGCGAGGAACAAATATCGGACAGACAGTTCGGCTTCATTAACGCAGTGGGTACCAGAGAGGCACTTTTCGGAGTACAGGTACTGATTCAGATGCAGACAAAGATGCAGGGACGTTAACTGCGACGTATACGCGTGCTTGATCGACTATGAAAAAGCATTTGACAGAGTTCAACATCAAAAGATGATAAAAATTTTAAAAGAGGCAGACCTGGATGACAAAGACCTCAGAATAATTTCAGAACTCTACTGGAATCAGACCGCATACATGAAAATTAACGAAGATACAGATACAGATACAACGGAGAAGAAACAGATCACATAAAAATACTACGTGGAGTTAGACAGGGATGTATCCTATCGCCGTTGATATTTAATATGTACTCAGAGAAAATTTTTAACGAGGCTCTTTACGGAATAGACGAAGGCATCCTTCTAAATGGTGAAAGAGTAAACAATGTTAGATATGCCGACGACACCATGGTGATAGCAGATAGTTTAGAGGGACTTCAGAGGCTAATGGACAGAATAAACGAGTACAGTCAACAGTACGGACTAAACATTAATACCCACAAAACGAAACAAATGATTATCAGCAAGGAGAATATAAACGGGGCTCATCTATACAATAATGGGACGCAGATAGAGCGAGTAAAACAGTATTGTTACCTGGGAACTATTATTAACGAACAGTGGAGCAATTTATAGGAAATAAAGTGCCGCATAGGAAAGGCAAGAACGGTCTTTAACAAAATGAGCGAAAATAACATCTTCAAAAGTCACAACATATCCCTTGATACAAAAATGAGACATTTGAGATGGTATGTTTTCTCTGTGTTGTTGTACGGGGCGGAGGCATGGACGCTTACAGACATCACTATTAAAAAACTTGAAGTATTTGAGATGTGGCTTTATAGAAGAATGCTGAGAATATCATGGACAGCAAGGATCACGAACAAGGAAGTTCTAGGAAAAATGAAGAAGGAACCAGAGATTGTGTTTACGATCAAACGCATAAAATTGCAATATCTGGGACACGTTATGAGAAATCAGCACCGTTACTCCCTGCTACAGTCTATATTGCAAGGTAAAGTCAAAGGTAAGCGAGGACCCGGTAGAAGGAGAATATCATGGCTGCGGAATTTAAGAACATGGTTTAAGAAAACCTCAACGGAGCTGTTTCGAGCCGCAGCGAGCAAGGTTATGATTGCCAATATGATTTCCAACATCCGCAACGGATAGGAACCAGAAGAAGAAGAGGGTTAATGAACATTCCATTTTACATTTCTTTTGATGTTTGAATTTTCAATAATTGTTTTTAATCAATTAAAAGAATTTTATTAATAATGTTGACATGTAAATATTTTTTATAATTGACTAATCAGAGTCTGCTACATTATATCAATGCTTTTGCAGTGAAACGCCTTTTTTATATATGTAAATATATAGACACATATAAATATGCATGCTTATACTATTAACATTTTTTTATAGAGTCAATCTGAAAAGTTAGCCAGGTATAGAGAGCTGGAAAAACAAAATGAGGAATTAACTGAGGAGACTAATAGACTCAAAGAACAAGTGAAAAATAAATTAATACTCGAAGAAGAAGTTTATGATTTGAAAAACCGCCTTGTGAAATTCAAGGATTGTGAGAAAAAGTTGATTGAGTTACAGGTAATTTTTTTACTCTAATCATTTTTTTACAGGTTATTTTATATATATATATATATATATATATATATATATATATATTTATATATGTTATATATTTAGACTAGAAGCACTTTAAGAGGGATAAAGGTGATGAGGCCAAAACTGGCTTTACCTCTTAAAAATAATGCCAGATAATAAACACTAATTGAGAAAAAGAGTGCATGTGGAACGTTCAAAAATCTGTACTTGGAATGTTCGAAATATGTTTGAAGGGGGAAAGATACACAACACCATTCAAGAAATGAAAAGACTAAATATCGACGTGATGGGAATCAGCGAGATGAGATGGCCAGGCACGGGACAGCAAAAAGGTCGCTGGGCTGTGATTAGCGTGCTACCTCTCTCTGATAGAGTCATTCTGATGAAGGTGCAAAGCAGACCCGTTAATACGAACATCATTCAAATTTACGCTCCAACATTAGAAAAACCATAAGAGGATATCGAGGAGTTCTACACACTTATACAAAAAGCACTCAAATATACCAAGAAGAACGAGCTTACCATCATAATGGGTGATTTCAATGGATGGATAGTGGAAAGGAACAGAATGGAGAGAGAGACAGTTGTGAATTTTGTTACAGTGAGAGAAATGATTGAGAGAATGATTGAAAATAAATTAGGTTGGATTAACATACACAGTTATATCCGTGCAATGAACAAGAAAAAGGAAGAGGAAGAAAGACAGCTGGACCAACGGCAAATGTAGAGTGAATGATGCTGAAAGATGAAGTTAGAACAGTGGGTCACACTTTTTGAGTTAGAGTGCGTGAGTTTGACTGTGGGGAAGGAGGAAATACCCTTCTGGGAATGATGCCGAACTAGGAGTGTGGATGTGTATGAATGGAGAATGAATGAATAAAGCTAGTGCTAGTAAATATGTTAAATGGATTTAAAAAAATTTATATTTGATATGTTTCAGATACAAGAAACTCAAAATGCTTTGTGTTTAAACGAATGGAGGGCAGTGGCAAGAGGAATATGCGAGTCAACAGAAGCAGATTCTGCTTTGCCACATCTTTTAAGAGTGGTAGTGGATAGGCTGCAACAGCAAGAACTGGTTTTGACATCAGCGAAGGTCGATCTGGAATCCCAATTAAAATCAATGACACATGTAAGTTATCATAATTCTGTAACAATTTTCTTGTAAAATTATTATAAATTAAATATTGTAGGAAGCGAAAGTGGCCAAGTCGGAAGCAGAAAAATGCCAAAAACTTCTAGCCGAATTGAAACAGACCGGCGATCAGAAGCAGAAATTAATTCACAGGATGGAAAAGAAACTGATGTTAGTGAGCCGTGAACGAGACAGTTATAGACTACAGTTGGACTCATACGAACGGGATCTTACTATGTATATATCTGCAGGGCCAACTACTGGAGCTGGTAGTACGTCTAGTCAATCGCAGAAAGAACGAATTGATAATTTGGAGAAGATTGTTGCTGAATATAGAGATATGGTAACCAAATTGGAAGAGGATCTGGAGGCTGCACAACCCAACCTACATGCACGTAAGTAAATGATACAGGACTATATATATATATATATATATATATATATATATATATATATATATATATATTATATATATATATATATATATAAGAAATACTGGATATTAGTGACTGTCGATATAAACAAACAAGATAGTTTATTAGGGTTGCAGTCAGAATATTGGCCGGGATATTAAAAAAAACACTCTTTTGACTTTTGTCGAGCTTTCGGAATGGTTTTATTCCTTTTTCAAGACACTGTAAAAGACAATTATGTAAATATTTAAAAATATCACAATTCTTCAGTGTAACTTACTAGTCGTTGAGATTATTTTTGTAAGCATTGACACTCAACATTTATACCACACATTAAAATAAACCCACTATTTCAATGAGGCCTATTGTATCTTCCATTGATGCTCCTAATAGTAAACTTGCTAAACACCTTACAGATATTCTCACAATTTCCTACAACGAATCCAATGAATTCTATATTAGAGATTCTTTTTCATTTAGTAACTTCATTAACAATGTTAAAGTTCCAAATAATTATATATTGATTAGTTTAGATGTTGTGTCACTGTTTACAAACTTACCACTAGATGCTATTCTTAACAGCATCAAAAATAACTGGAACAACATCTCTCCACATACTAAGATCAGTTTAGATGATTTCATAAGAATGTTAACATTTATATTTGATTCAAACATCTTTTTATTCAATGGTAATTTTTTATGGCATGGCATGCTAAGGACGGAGTGGTATCGTAAACCTTGTTTCAGCAACCGTTTCATAAACTTTTATTCTCAACATCCATCTAAGATGAAAACAAATTTGGTTTTGGCTTTAAAAACTAGGGTTATCAATTTGTCACACATAGAATTCAGAGATAAGGGACTAAAAAAGTTGAGATCCATACTACAAGAGAATTCTTATCCCATAGGGCTGTTAAATAAACTCATTTTCGGTTCTCCTTTTCCTTCACAAGTTTCTGTCAACCAAAATTTTCATAACAATGAGATCCGACAATTGACATTGACACATAACGCATCAATATTACCATCTAAAATAACTTATGGTTACCTACCCTACATTCCATTTTTGACACCTAAACTAATGAACATCTTTAAAAATGTTAGTGGCTTAAAAATTACAACCAAAAATGTGAAAACAGTATCGAAGCTTTACACAAAAACAAAAGATCCTTTCACAATACAGGAGTCATCGAATGTTGTTTATTCTATACCGTGTAGTAACTGTAATAAAATTTACATAGGAGAATCATCTCGTAACTTTCACAGCAGGGTGATATCACATCGCAGTGATATAAAAACCAAAAAAATCAATGCATGTGCATTGACAGAACATGCACTAACTCTAAAACATGAATTCAATTTCGATGATTCCTGTATTTTGGCAAAAGAAAAGAACCATTCAAAACGTGTTTTTTTGGAAATGTGTTTCATAAAATCTAGCACATCTTGCATCAACAAAAAGTCCGACATAGACAAATTAAGTAACATTTATTGTTATTTACTAGAAAAACACCAAAAATAAAATAAATATTTACCTGTACAAAAATTACACCTCTGTATAATATGTTGCATACCATTAAGACAGGTTTAAAAAGTATAGTCACCTAAAAAGGGCCTCTAGTATTTCTTGTAAAGAAAGATAACATCAATTACACCTAATTACATATTAATTACACTGTTTTTTCTTTCCATTCTCTGTATGAGTTAATATACACCAGTAAAACATGCCATCTATCAAGTTTTACTATTTTTACAACAAATTTTAAAAATTTTATGATGTATTATGTCCATAATTGTATATTTTAATGTGTGGTATAAATGTTGAGTGTCAATGCTTACAAAAATAATCTCAACGACTAGTAAGTTACACTGAAGAATTGTGATATTTTTAAATATTTACATAATTGTCTTTTACAGTGTCTTGAAAAAGGAATAAAACCATTCCGAAAGCTCGACAAAAAGTCAAAAGAGTGTTTTTTTTTAACATCCCGGCCAATATTCTGACTGCAACCCTAATAAACTATCTTGTTTGTATATATATATATATATATATATATATATATATATATATATATATATATATTATATATATATATATATATATTATATATATATATATATATATATATATATATATATGTACTATTACCTCCTTTTGCTGCATTATCAGGGTGAGTAGTATGATAAGTGTTATAACCCCTAAATCTAATATATGACTCATTCGTAAAATGGGTTTCAGAAATGAGGCATATGTCTATTTTTTCTATATCTAGTATCGCTTGTAGTTCTTGCTGATGTTTCAAAATGCCATTTGCATTCCATTCTACTATTCGTAAACTACCCGCCATTACCAAGTCTTTTAGATATAGCTCTTCTTCTAGTTTTCTTCGTTACTTTTACCAGCTGCTACCATGCTAAAGTTCTTGTTTTGAATTTTCTACAAGTTTTGGATGCATTCTTTGTGGTTGTCTGGGTAAGGTCTGTTTCTTGTTATATTTATCTTTTATTTTTTGTATATCCTTTGCCACGATACATCCTCTATAGTTAGCCGAATGCCCTTCTCCACAGTGGACACATTTAGGTTTTGCGTCATTTGGTTTCTCATATTTGGCTGTTAGATGTTTTCCTGTGCAGCGGACACATCTTGGTTCTTTCGCACAGTAACCTAGTGTGTGTCTATATGCTTGACATCATAAACATATTTAGTGGTTGCTTTGTTTTGTATTTTAATTTCAGTATGACATCTATTATCTTGAATCATAAGCGAATTTTTAAATAAATTTTTTGTGACACATGGTATACAGCCAATTACAGGAATTTCGTTTCCTTGTGGATTGTATTTAATACAGTTCTCATACTCTGAAATTATATTATTAATTTCACCTATGTACACCATTTTTTGGACAGGTATTCTTATATTACTATGCCTCTTCTTTTTCTTTAAGGAAAGTTAAAACTTAGTACATAGCGAAACTAGAGAATTTTTTAATATAAAATATGTTTTTTAGACCTACAGTAATTCAATTAAATATTATATTTTTCAGATGTTGTGCCTATTCGAGCGGAGCAAATGTCAAGGTTAAAAGACGAAGTTCATGAACTCAAATTGGAAAATGATAAATTACGGGAGCGCAGGGATCAACTAGAGATACAGCTAGAATCATATTTGGAAGGTGAGGATACCACACGCGGTGGAAAAATAATCCACCTAACTAATAATCCTCTTAGCGAAAGTCTAGCGCAGCGAGGAAAACAAGTGGAAAAATTACAACAAGAAATTGAAAAATTGAAGAGGAAGATTAAAAATATGGAAGAAGGAATTGAGTACAGTAAACTGGGCGACATCACCCTTACAGGAAAAGAGATTACACAATTGAAGGAACAGTTGCAATCCCAAGAGAACCAGAACCAATTGTTGAAAGATTATTTTAAATCCCAAATGCAGGAATTCAGAAATGTGATATATATGTTGCTAGGTTACAAGATCGATAGGACACAAAATTCTTTGTATAAATTGAGAAGCATGTATGCTGAACAAGCAGATGATCTACTTTGTTTCCAAGTGAACAAAGATGGCGATTTGAATCTGTTGGAGAATGAATTCAGTGCTACGCTCGAAAGCATGATTAATTTGCACTTAAGGCATCAAAAATCAATTCCTGTTTTTCTTAGTGCTATTACAATGGACCTGTTCCAAAACAAAACGATGACAACTAAGAGTTATGAGACGGAGTTGGGCGGATAATTAGGATAATAATAATTAGGACTAATAAGGACAGATTCTGTTTTGAACAATTAAGAAATATAAGAATCGAATAGGTTCTTTACATTGTCAAGTTTTTTGTATCAATATACTGATAATAATTATATTACAACTTGTTTCAGTTTCTTTCCCCTTCATTTTTCTATTGTTTTTTACAATGAAATAGCGCGAATTGGTAATTCTCTGTCAACTATGCAAAGTTGATCAGCGATTCGATTTAGCCTAAATTTTACAGATGAATTTCAATACTATAAAATATGATGGTTGGCCATGTAGCGAGAATGCATGACTCACGATGGACGAGCAAAATTACACATCGGAGGCCAAGAGCAGACAAACGTAGCAGAGGAAAACCACCTACACGTTGGGCTGACGACATCAGGCGTATCACCAAAAATTTGCAACAAAGAGCACAAAATCGTTAAGAATGGAGGAGTTTAAGGGAGGCCTATGTCCAGCAGTGGACGTGATAAATGCATGCTGGCTGATGATAATGACGATGATATAAATATGATGATTTGCCAAATTTTTTCCAAATAAAAATTTTTTTTCCCGTATTTTATCACTTTTTCTTGGAAAGCAGGATCTAGATCAACGGTCGGCAACAGGCGGATCGCGGTCTGAATCCGGACCGCGAAAGGTTGAACTGCGGACCGAACTGCGGAATATCGATTGCTGAGTCAATCAAGTTCAAAATAAAATCGATGTTAATTTTCAATTAGGAAGTGACATGATAAATAAACATAATAACACTCGTGACAGTCGCTCACTAGTAGGTCAGTGACATGCACGTACCAGACTACAGTCAATTGGATGTAGTTATGCATAAAAGAACCAACCCAAAATATATGAAAATGAGCTATGACAGGTTTTATGTATTTAAATTGCAAAAAATGTAGTAGGGCAGTTTGAATTATTTAAGCGTTCATTTATGGATAAAACTAATTTATTGGTGTAAATCTAAGATAATTTAATGACCATATTATAAAAAATGTTATTTTGTTTTTGTTATGTGGCTTGGTTCTTTTTTGCATAATGTGAATACCTGGATTATAAAATTTGAATATTGGAACCACTCTAATATTTATTCAATATGGATAAAAAGTAACACTTTAGAAGGCAAAATATTTTATTTATCAAATCAACATGTATTATCCGTCAAATTCAAAATCTAAATTAGCGTCGTAACCATCAAGATAATCTTCAACATTACTATCACTTGTCAGAGTAGTATAGTGGTGCTTAACGTCTTCAGGAATAAGATGTAGTAAAGATGAGATGTCTTCAAGCTTTTTGGGCGATATTGGTTTGCCCGTAGGCCACAGTTGAGTTAGCGATGGCGAAAAGATATTCCTTGTGTTATCTAAAGAAGGTCTGTCTTTTGATTTTTTTGAAATGTCTACTTGAACATAGTCTTCCCTGTGTGTTTTTGACATAAATAATTCAAATGGTTTTTCTTTATAAATTTTTATTTTCCTCAAATGAAGCCAATTAATTTTTTCTCCAGACGTATCTACTTTGCGGTTGGTGATAAGCTTTTCTGTATCTTTGGTCCCAAAAAAATGTTCCGTTTTCATTTTCGTAACCTGTAAGGGATTTTTTTTACGACAGCTTTTTATGATATTTATGTAATCGTCTTCACTGTAGATTCTTTGCTGTAACTTTAATGCCTTTTCTATGTCTGAAAAATCGCTGTCGTTTTTTAAAAAACTATGCCCGGAAACCAAAAACCTTAATGAAATATCTTCTAATGTCAAATGATTTTCCAATGCAGCCTTTAACATTAGTACAATTTTTATATTTCGGTTTTGGCCACCACAAGAATCTGACCAAAGTATGAGATGTTTTGTGGATTCAGGAACATGTCGCGCAATGTGCTTGAGCAAACAAGACCCTACCTCCTGAGCTCCTCTACCAGCTTTGCCTTCTAACCATGTATAACAATATCCTTTATTGAATTTGCATGAATGGATACCAGTATTATAAAACCATATCTGTCTCTTATAGAAAACTATATTCGTGGGAATTTTTGGCAAGGGTAATGTTTTTTCCATGTCAAACGTAAGGACTTCTAAACTGTCATCGATTTTTGCCTGTTGCATGTCTTTGTTCATTCTGTTTCTTGCTTCTTCCTGATTAGTTAAATGTATTTTATGCTCCTGCAAAAACTTTTCTTTATCATCGTTACTCTTAGCACATTTTACAGCAGCATTTAGTTTGTCACATAGATTACAGGTGTCCTTTTTTAACGGCTTACGCCGTAGATTAAAATTTGAATAAAAAATTTTTTTATACTTTTGATAGCTGACTGGATTTTCCACTTCTTCTGAATACAAAGAATACATTTTCTCAATAGTTATGTGGCTTTCTAAATACTCAGCATCTTGCATTTCTTCCCGTCTGTAATGGGACTTATATTTTGGAAGTCTTTTTATGTGGTCAATAACTTCGTTGAAACGTGTACTGCTAAGTTTATTATAACCACCATACGCTCCTCTCTTATCAACTATACTGTCCGACTTAATCTTCACGAGAGCGGTATTAACACGTTTTGTTGATATTTGGAGCGTTTTAACAAACATGTCCCGGCAAACCTTAATACTACTTATTTTATATACTCGAGTAAATTGTTTCGCCCGATCACCAGAACTAACTCCATAATGACGCTTGACTGGTTCCTCGCTGATTAGTGTACCTAAATAAGTTGTTTGGGAATCATATGATCCTAATTCCCAGTATTTCTTAAACAGTTTTTCTCGTTCTTCCACAGAAACCATCTCACTGCACCTATTCTTACACTTGCACACGTAGTTTTCAAATTCTTTGGAATTAACATGGATACCTCTATAATTTACGTAAGGTTTGTTGGTGTTCTTGAACTTTTTCCTGCTATCACGTGTTTGATTGTTATATTTGCGTTTTCGACCCTTTGGCCGTCTGCCTGTAGAAGTACTTTGATTGCTAACTACATCTTCCAAAGGGGCATTTTCATCTTCTGTATCTGATGAAGAGGGTACATAATTCGCATCAGCAATGCTATCATCGGTGTCTTCTGAAAAATCACCCGAATCTTGTAACAGATTATCACCGTCAATGGTAGGTTCCTAAAAAGTATTGAGGTTAGGTTTCAAAGTTTTACTTAATCTAAACAAATTTATTTTTGCACGCTTTTGCACATACCTCATTTTTGTTTTCTTTTTGTGTTAGCTGCACCATATATCGTCCTCTGGACACAGACATAATGATACCACTCGTTAACACTTAAAATGTAACTGAAAGATAACGGTTTATGTAAACACAACCGGAACCAACAATAGAATAACTAGGTATGAAATTTGCATAAAGGAACCAACCCGTTTGGTTCCTTTATGCAGAATTCTGTAACCGCGTTTTACTGTATGCATAAGGGTACTATCCCACAGATGGCGTGACTATGCACATAAATAGGTTGGTTCTATTTTGCATTTTATAGAACACTAATTTTTATAATCGAAAACTTCATTATCTCAAAACTGCCAAAATGTGGGTTGGTTCCTTTATGCAGAACTACGTCCAATTTGTTTTGTGATTACTCGCGTTTTCGTTCGTTTTATAAAACATCTTTGGAGAAAAGTGGACAGTGGTAATGGGAAGTTTCTGGCAGAATGAACTGAACAATATTGTTTTACACTGCCTGATAAGCCACAAGCGCTTCCGGTGTGCCTTATATCCAGTAAAACTGTCGCCTTATTTAAAAGTGGAAATTTGAAGCGACACTACGAAACAACTCATCAGAAGTTCGACAAAAAGTTTCCTTTTGGCAGTCAGGCGCGTAAAAAAAACTTCGGGTATATCTTACTCTTACGAAAAAAGCACAAAAATCCTAGTTCACTGCATGAGCGACCAGACAAAATCCACGTTACGTGTGTGCTAGATACTTCATGATCACCAAAAACTATTTTCTGATTCTGAGATAGTGAAGGAATGTATGCTGGCAGTAGTTAACCCACTTTTTGAAGCAAAACAAAGATGCTGCCTCAGCAATTCAAAGCATCTCATTGTCAGCGCGAAGTAATACACGGAAATTTTAGCTACGGATATTAAAAACTCTCTTCTTAATATTTTGCAAAAGGAACCTTGCTACGCCATAGCACTTGACACTTCATGCGGTATTGTTGATGATAAATAAATGTCTGTTTTTGTAAAATTTCTTGATATTGAGTGTCAGATTTTTAGGGAAGAGTTCCTAGCAATATTGCCGCTGAAAAGTAACACTTGAGAAGAAGATTTATTCAAGGTTATTGATGAAGTAATTTCTAAATCTAACAATAATTTCGCTTTCTACTGATAGGGGTTCAGCAATGATTGGCAAAGGAAAAGGTGTAGTAAAGAGGATCAGGGATAAAAATGAAAATTTAATAACATATCAGTGCATAATACACCAGGAAACCCTTTGCGGAAAAATTAGTGCTAGACTTGAAGAAGTCATAGACAGTTTAGTGAAGTTCATTAATTTTATGAGATCTCATTCTGTTCTCCAGCACCGGCAATTCACGGAGTTTCTTTCTGAATGTGATTCAGCATATTCTGACTTACTACATTTATATATACATATATATATAGTCCCAAGATTCCTAAGAGGAACATAGGACTTCCACAAAGTGTCTCCAGCGAACTCTATTTCTGGCTAGTGCTTTGATTTCAAGCTAGGATTTTCCCATTTTTCTCCCTTCGTCCAGTACTGTCCTTCTCCAAGTTCCCTTAGGTCTGCCTACTTTCCGTCGCCCTTGGGGATTCCAATCCAGCGCTGTCCTGGCAATGTCATTTGGCGGTCTACGGAGTGTGTGGCCCAGCCATCTCCATTTTCTTCGTCTTATTTGCTTTATGACATTTTCTTGGTTGCTTTGGTTCCATAAATTTTCATTGGAGATTCGGTTAGGCCAAAATATACGAAGGATTTTTCGTAACGCTCTATTGATGAAAACTTGTAATTGGTGTACTATGGGTGCTGATATCTTCCATGTTTTGCAGCCATACAGTAATACAGCTTTTACATTTGTGTTGAAGATTTTTAATTTCGTTTTAGTTGGGTAAATCCTGGATTTTCATATGTTGTAGGCGTTGCG